CCAAATAAATAAAAAATATCAAAGTTTTATTTTTTAAATGGAACACCCTGTATATTATTGCATTTTTAGTTTCTACGATTAAAATAAAGGTAAATTTGATTAAGGTTTATTACACTTAAACCTTACCGTTTTCAACATATTTTCAATTTTGCGAAATTGCACTATAATTTTTAAGGCTTCATTTCTCCGAGGATATCAAAGTTTTTAATACTAAATATTTACTGAAGTTTATTTATTGATCAGTTATTGTGTTGCAATAATAAAAATTAAACTACCGTATACAGAGTGTCTAAAAATTTATTTTAAATAATTACTAGCTCTAAACGGTAATAACTTATTTACTTTAAATAAAACACCCTGTATATTTTATGAGAATCAGATTCAGGTTTTCGTAGAAAATGCATTTTCTTATAATTTAGACCTCATTTATCAATATACCCATGAAATATTGACATTTTAGATTGTTTTTAAAACAACAAATGTACAAAATGTACAGGCTAGTAATATTATCGTTTTTAGTAAAACGATAATATTACTAGCCCATTTGTATGCAAAAAGAAAACTATTTAAATCTTTATAAAAGAGTATACCATTAATTAAATATACCACCAGTATTTCCGCCCAAATACTAATTAACTACATACTTAATTGTGTTCGTTAATAAATTATTCTAAATAAATGTGGATTTGAATCAGAAAGCAATATAATAATAAGTTATGAAAATGAACGTCTCTGTTATAAATAAGCATTTGTCAAAAAATTAAATATAATTTTTAAGGTGTTACTTTTTACCACACTGTCTAATACACATACATAATTCAGTTTTCTAGTATTTGGAGCAATTATTATTAATCAACGCAAACAGTCAATTAATGTAATTTGAATACTGGAATCATATTAATTGGTCCTCTTTAACAAATATTTAAACAGTTTTTTTTATTTTTTAATGAAATGAACGAACTATATCGACAATATTAGTATTTGTACTCTTTAAAAATTTGGTACATCTTTAAAAATAATCTAAAATGTCAGTATTCCATGGGTATATTGATAAATGAGTTCTAAATTACAAGAAAATGCATTTTCTACGGAAACTTGAAGAGATAGGTAAAAAACGGTATAACACAATTTGATAGACAATTAAATTGTGCATCTGATTCTCATCAAATATATAGGGTGTTCCATTTAAATCAAACAAGTTATTGCCGTTTAAAGCTAGTAATTATTTAAAATACATTTTTAGACACTCTGTATAAGGTAATAAATTTTTTATTATTGCAACACAATAACTGACCAATAAATAAACTTCAATAAATATTTAGTATTAAAAACTTTGATACCCTCGGAGAAATGAAGCCTTAAAATTTATACTGCAATTTCACAAAATTGAAAATATTTCAAAAAAGGTAAGGTTTAAGTGTAATAAACCTTAATCAAATTTACCTTTATTTTAATCGTAGAAACTAAAAATGTAATAATATATAGGGTGTTCTATTTAAAAAAATACAACTTTGATATTTTTTATTTATTTGGGACACTCTGTATCTTGTAAAAATATTTTTAAATTGTAGCTCTAATAGTCCTTCAACGAACCCAAAACTTACAATTTGTAAAAATCTTGTCGTTTAGCTACAATACTCCGTGTCGTATGTGGTGAACAACCCTGTATAGTTCATTAATTTTATTTTTATTTTAATTGTATTAATTATGATTAATAAAATTGCGGTTATCTCATCAATAAGACCGAATTCGAGAGAATATCAAGAGGTAACTTTTAATTAGCATTAAACGGCCTACACAATTTTGATATCAAAGTCAGTGGCGCACGGTTTTTTTTTTAATATTCCAATTATAACCCATATATGCATGTCCCTGCTGAATTTATCGACACTTTTTTATCATTAAAATATATAACATTTATATTACCCTCAAAATTCCATTCGAATCACTAAAAGTACTTGGAAGAAAATTATAATAAATCGATAGATTATTAAGGCTTTAACACCCTGTAGCTACGAAACAAAGGAGAATCGGACCTATGTTAATATGATAAATAAATCTTATTTTTAAGAGAGGAATCTCCCCACGAGAAATGGCACATGTTTTTTGAAACACCCTGTATACTGTGGCGCCTGATACGAGAACTTTCGGAAATTGTCTGTAGCATTCTCCTTTTTTTCAGTAAATTCCTTTTAAAACATCGAGATTTTCCACGTAAATGGCAGAGATGGCGCGATACTCAATTCGTCAGGCTTCTTGACAATACAGGGTGTCCCAGAAATAAGTGCAAGTATTTTAACTGGTAGTATAGTTCAACCCCAAAAACACGCCTATGATGTTTTTTTTTGCGAAAAAAAATTATTGAAAATTCGAAATTTTTGAAAATTTTTTGGGGATTTTTTTTAGTTTTTAGTTAAAAAACATAATTTCTTGATAATATGGCAACATTGGTATTAGACTCGGTATTAGATTAAATTTACAAGAAAGGAAATCCAGAAAAGATCCAGTGGTTCTCAAAATTTTAGCAAAAAATCATTTTTTTTGGAAATTTTCAAAGTAAAATATCTCCGTTATCTTGGAGTTATTTGAAAAACGATAAAGAGACAATATGTTTCTTTTATCGAGATCTACCACCCCTTAAAATAATTACACTTATTTCTGGGACACCCTGTATAAACATACTTAGTGATTTTTCACTCTTCCGACAGATGTCACCATACACCTTGACAATATATTAACGTCTTTGAATAAGAAGACTAAGGAAGGAGCATATCAAAAATCTTAGGTCCACCGCGATGGGCCTCAAATATGGCCGACTTAATTTCCTGTTTATCAGTGCCGTTATAATTTTATTTAAAAAATGTAAAACTATGATGTAAAGTAGACGTTATAGGTAGATTCAATAATTTTGTTTTTATTTTACTTTGTGAATAAATTTTGGTAGTTATTAAAATTCTTATAAAATATATATAAGTTATAAATAATTATTATAACTTATCTATTTTATAGTTATAAATAATTATTATAACTATAAACATCCGATACGCTACTGAAGCAGGTAAGTCAAACTGACGTATCTAAATTCTTTGACATCTAATCTTTGACAAGTAGTAAATAAAAGCAAAAATGCAAGAAAAAATACATAATTAGTTAATTTAAGTGAATTTCATAAATGATGGGTTTACTACACGTATGTATATTATATAGTCACTTACTAGCGAAAAGTTGTTCCATTATTTCACTCGATTTTTGCCGAGATCTACCGCACGCTACACAACCAACTATTTTAGAGTCATTTTTGATAAATCGCGATAGTGTCACTGTTAATTTAAGTTCAGCCACAATTTCCATCTAGATTTACTACCTTTATACAACTATCAGTAGTAGAATAAATAATAAATAACATAAAATAAGCTCCTTAAAGACTGACAAATCCATAAAATTTCAAATCAAATTCAAATGTGTCAAATGAATCAATGAATCGTCAAACAGAACTGTCAAGGATCCCCACCCTAGAGAGCTTTTATGGTGGCTTTTCCGCCCACCATGCATGAATACATGAATAGCATTATGCTCCTTCCTTAGTCTTCTTATTCAAAGATTAACGTAAATTTTCTATGTTAATTAAAAAACGAATCTTTTTATTATCTCGTACAACAAACATTGCTAATTTAAATCGTGTTGTTTTTTTCTGTTATTTTTTTTATTATAATGCGCTATAGTTAATTAATTTTCTTTATGAGTTTTCAAACAAATAGTTATTTAATCAACATACAATGAAGAAAATTTGTTTAACAGATATCAGTTTGTTTAACAGATATCTACAGAACAATATAACAGATATATCAACTGAAACTTACCTACGTTATTTTGAGTTTTAAATTATTAATGTTTACTCAAAATCATGTGTTTTTTGGTTAAGTTAATAAAAAAATTAATAAATTATATTATTTTACCTAATTTATTATTTAATATTATTACTATTAGTCCAGCCTACAGCATTTTCAAATAAAAAAATAATGGTATTTAAGATAATTACAAAAAAACTAATTTTAAAAACTTTTAACATCCTGTAACTCTAAAACTATGCATTCCATACCCATGTTTATAGAAACTTTTTTTTATATTTTTGGATAAGAAATCAATGAGACTTATTTAAAACTTTCGCAAGTTAGCGATATTAATTTTTAAGACGTGGATCAACGCAAATTAATAAAATTGCTTTTTTTCATCAAGGAGGCCGAAATCGGCAAAATATCAAGAGACAACCTTTAATCGGCATTAAACTGCTTACACTATTTCGCTAACAAGAGAAAACAAAGTCAGTGGCGTACATGTTTTTTTTTAGAAAAATATGCCTTATTTAAGGCATATTTTTTACATCCCCATATGCACGTCCCTGGTGAATATTTCGACATATTTTTAGCTTTAAAATATGTCGCATTTATAGTAACTTTTACCAAAATTTCATTCGAAACGCTAAAAGTACTTGGAAGAAAATTATAATAAATGGAAAACATATTAAGATTTTAACATCCTGTAGCTACGAGACAAAGCAGAATCGGACCTATGTGGATATGAAAAATAAATCTTATTTTTACTTGAGAAAGCTCCCCACGAGAGATGGCACATGTTTTTTGAAACACCCTGTATGTTAATCTTTCTATATTTAGTATAATTTTTTTAATAAATGACTTATAGAGATTGACCTCGCCAAAATGATGATCGATTGTCATTCCCCAGCCATCTTCGACGCCGTTTTTTTTCGATCATACGGTATATGTTTTTATATTATTTAAAGAAGCACTATCCAATTAACGAACAAAGTAAATTTAAAACAAAATACTCGGATACAATTTGAGAATTTTGCCGGTTTGTCTCGTAACATCGATCGGTCTGTTGTTTTGGGAAATGTAAAACCGCAGTAATTAATTTTTTAATGATAAATTTTTATTCAGATAGCTGTTGCGACCGTTTATATGTATCGCTACGTACACGTAGGTACGACCAGGCTGTGGTTTAAATAAATTCATTCTCGGGAATTATATAAAACAGCGCGTTTTTTTATTTGCCGATCAGTAGTACCGCAATATTTTTATTGGTGCCATCGCTAGGATAAAAAAAGACGAGAAAAGTACTACTGGGGATTCGAGGTAAGATAATAACAAATCAGATTTTTGTTTATAAGAGTAATTATTGTTGATTTTGAGATAAGGATAAAACAATTCTTTAAACAAACCTCCTTAATTCGTATTTTATACAAAATAATTTACCGTTTTTTGAAAGATAAAATCTGGTTCAAAAAAGTCACCTGCACTGTAAGAAAATCTGCAAAATAAAATAATTTTATTTTTTTTTGTAAAATCCAACGGAAACCAACCTTTAAGGAGTGATTTACTAATAAACAAATTTGCCTAATAGACCAAAAAATCATTAACGTTATCGTAAATCTTAATTTCGTTTCGGCAAAAAAAAGTTTTTTTTAATTTCACTCAAAATAAGTTATTTATGGTTTGATATCAAACATAAATGACCTAAATACAAAATATTTTCATGGTGTCTGTCTGTCTGTCTGTCTGTCTGTCTGTCTGTCTGTCTGTCTGTCTGTCTGTCTGTCTGTCTGTCTGTCTGTCTGTCTGTCTGTCTGTCTGTCTGTCTGTCTGTCTGTCTGTCTGTCTGTCTGTCTGTCTGTCTGTCTGTCTGTCTGTCTGTCTGTCTGTCTGTCTGTCTGTCTGTCTGTCTGTCTGTCTGTCTGTCTGTCTGTCTGTCTGTCTGTCTGTCTGTCTGTCTGTCTGTCTGTCTGTCTGTCTGTCTGTCTGTCTGTCTGTCTGTCTGTCTGTCTGTCTGTCTGTCTGTCTGTCTGTCTGTCTGTCTGTCTGTCTGTCTGTCTGTCTGTCTGTCTGTCTGTCTGTCTGTCTGTCTGTCTGTCTGTGTGACTGAAAAATACTGTGACACCCGAGAATCTGGCCATTAGTTTTTGATGGGGGTGGGGGGTTAGTAAGGGGGTATGGGAGGGGGTTAAAAATTTTAAAATATCGTAACTCCAAAATTACAGTAGCTAGCGAAACGCGGTTTTCAATTTAAGATTAGAAATAATATTTGTAATAACATCAAAATCAGTCAAAGTCGCAGTTTTTGAGATATTCCGTTTTTCCGTAGTCCGTTTTTAAAAAAATCCGTGTGGAGAACTCCAAACTCCCATCGGACGCAACCCCAGGTGGCAGATAGGGGAAATAACTTTGAAACTAAAAGAACTGCCTACCAAATTTTTATTAACAGATTTTAGTATGGGCGGCTCCCGGCGCCAATTTTTTTTTTAAATATGATTTGTAGTTTTTTATCAAAGTATTTTTTATATATTAAAGAACCGCAAAAATAATTGTGATATGTAATCGCAATTTTTGAGGAATATTTTGTTACAATATTTTTGACGCCTACATAAACATTCAATTTAATAACTTTTAGCTAATTTAAGAGTCCATTTCACTAGTCGCGAAATAAGCGTTCGGCATTTAACATTTTATGTAAAACTGGCTAGGTATTATATTAGAAATTAAAGATATAGGATTATACTATATCGGTATTGTAGCACATTTTTAGATAACCTCTTTATTTTTAAGATTTTGATGGTCAAACATCAACAAAATATTTCTTATGTTTGGACTAAATTTTCTCGAAAATAAAGATATAATTTAAAATTCCGTTACAATTCCGACATAGATTGAAGTTTTGTGATTACAGTGATATATAATTTATATGGTTTTGTAACACATTGCTCGCTATTTGATGGTAAATGCTGAAGCTCTGAATATGAAGCTCTCGAACAAATTTAAAAATTATATTTTTCGCTGAAAGCACGTGCTTTAATTATGGGTGTGGCTTAACACCACAGGATCGGGCTAAAGTTTAGGCAGATTTCTGAAATATAATATATATTTTACCTAAGTTAACATAACTTATTAATCTATTAAATATCTATTAATATAACATTATTATTCATGTTTTAATAATTATTTAGTATTTTAATCGTGATTTGAATAAATTATTTTGGGTATTTCCTCAATATATTTCTTGGTTCTAAAGTTTCTTGGTGTATAAAAATATATACCTATAATATTTCTTGGTGTTGAAAGGAGTATTTTACCAAAAAGGTTTTTTATTTGGTAGTTTTGAAGTTATATAACTATTTAGTAACAGAAGCTTATGGAATTGCTAGCACTCAACTGTAGAATATAAGTTAGCTAAAAAATAGCTAAAAACAAGTTTTGGTTACTTTACCATTTCTTGTTTTAAATGAAATTATCGTTTAAGGGTTAATTCTACCACCTAAAAGACATGATTTATTTCAATTTTATTACAGGGTTGTCTTCTTTTTTTGTTAGGTAGTAAATTTAGTTTAATTTTATTTTTTTTTTATTCAATTTATTAGAATAATATACCGAGTGGTCAACTAAAAATGGACATCGGCTGTGTCTCAGAAATTACGTATCGTATAATTTTTGTTAGCCAGAGTTACTGTTAACTAAGTTTTAAGTAATAATTATATTGTTTGGTAACAATTATTATTCATATATTAAAAATACAATTCATATATTAAAAATACAACAAAATTAGACTTTGTTTGAAATGTCAATTTTTTATAGTTTAATTTTCATTGATGTAGGCGTTTTAAAGATAAACCTTTTTCTTTTTAATTAAACGCTATCCTTCAAGAGTATAATCTCAACTAAAATAAGATACTATACCACATGCGATAAAAAAAAATGACGTCAAAGTCGGCTGGGGAATGGAAATCGATGATAATGTTGGTGCGGTCAAGTCGTAGACGTCACTACTTGGCCCCTACTCTTCTTCATTTTTGAAGGTGCTTACTGCTAATTGGCCTTAAGAAGGTTGTAATGTATTTTTTTCCATAGCAACTGTTAAAATTGCCTTATATCTATCAAAAATAGTAGATAAAATAGGACTTTAACCCGCAAGGGTAGATTAAATGATACTTTAACAGCGATGATAGGTTAAAAACATTATATCTTCTCGCACGTTTTTTAATTGCTTCCATTTTTGAAAATTTTTGTATTCCTTTTCATGAATAGGTTAACATTCAAGTTATTCGGGATGTAAATGGGAGTAGTTTGGATATGGCGTTTGTCGCCTCAGCCTGAATATCTGTTTGTAAATTATTTCGTTTTGAGCCATTTCTGGTTCCAATTCAATCAGCAATTGACACGAAAGGGAATTAAAAAATATTGACTCAAAACTGACAACTAAAGAGACCATAAAGAGACAGCTTTATTTATTTGTGAAATTGCATAGAAACCAACGCCAACCCAGCACAATATTTTTTCTACTCGTAATAAATTACTTGAAATAATAATTTCTGAATATTTTTTAAAACGCAACTCGCTATGGAAAAAAATATTGTTTTATACAGACGATAAAATTTTATTATCGTCTCCCGTTATCATTAATCTTTTCGGTTGACGATAAAATATAATTTTATCGTCTTGTATAAAAAATAACTATTTATATTGAGTAAAAATTATTTTAAATGGTGAAGTTTAAAATTTGTATATTGTTTGTTTCTGTTTTAAAAAAAAATTTTTTGGAAATCATTTTGTGTGCCTAGAATCCTTCCGTTTTTTTCTATAATTTCTATGTTTTCTATGTTCTTCTATGTTTCTATCTTTCTATAATTACTGTGAATTTTTTCTATGTCAGTTTTTAGTAAATGACGTCTAGAAATTGATCTCGCAAAAATTATCATCGATTGTCAATCCCCAGCCGTCTTTGACGCCGTTTTTTTTTGATCATACAGTACTATACAGGGTGTCCCAGAAATAAGTGCAAGTATTTTAAGGGGCAAGTATTTTAAGGGCTACATCTCGATAAAATAAACATATTTTCTCTTTATCGTTTTTCAAATAAGTCCAAAATAACGGAGTTATTTTTTACTTTGAAAATTTCCAAAAAAAATGATTTTTTGCTAAAATTTTGAGAACCACTGGATCTTTTCTGGATTTTCTTTCTTGTAAATTAAACTAATACCTATGTTGCCACATTATCAAGAAATTATATTTTTTAACTAAAATCTAAAAAAAATCCAAACATTTTTCCAAAAAAATTCTGATTTTCAAATTTTTTTTTCGCGAAAAAAACCTCATAGGCGTGTTTCTGGGGTTGAACTATACTACCAGTTAAATTACTTGCACTTATTTCTGGGACACCCTGTATAACGATATTGTAATTTATTTCGTTATCTTTTCTAGGTTATGCACTGAAACACCATTAAACGAAATCCTAGCCAAAACTCAGCAACATGTCGACGAAACTTTTCCTGATCGCCATACTACACCTGGCAGCAGTGTACGGAAAACCCTTCACAACCACCAATCAATTGTCGGAAAACCCTATCGTTCCCACTTGCTCTAGTCCCATTTATTGCCAGGGAGAACTCTTAAATGTCGTTCAAATGTCCGGCATTTTCAACGACTCGAAAACTTTCGTCGATATGAGCCAAGTCAACACAGTCAACGTCACTTTAGACAATTTCAGGTAAGGTAATAATGAACAGTTAATTGTATTATAGTACCAATCGATAAAAAAACGGCGTGAAAGACGGCTGAGAAATGACAATCGATGATAATTTTGTCGAGGTCAATTTCTAGACGTCATTACTTGGCCCGTATACTCTTCTCTTTATTTTTTAATGATGCTTACCATCGGTTGGTTTTGTAGGATGTAGAATGTTTAGGAGGGGAGTTAATCACCGCGACCTTACATATCTATTGTGTGTTCTCCTTTCTTGAATTATAACGAGTTATAACTCATCATACAGTCTCAGGGCTTTAACAAAACCCAGTATCTGCGACGGCTCCACAGAGGCCAGCTCTCCATCCTCGACATCAGACGTACCAAAGTTCATGGCACGAATGGTCATCGTCTCGGCGCACTCGGTGATAAGGTGTTCTGGTGTTTCCCCATTTTCCCCACAGAATCTGCATTCGCCGTTGTTTCTCAGCTTCAGCCTACTGAGGTGTTCGTTGAGGAGACAGTGTCCTGTTAGAAACCCGCCCGTGGCAATCCGAAGATTGTTTTTACTTAAATCAAGGAAAACCTTTGATTTTTCTCGGTCGTAAGTTCTGAGGAACTTTTTCGATTGTCTTACACCGTTGGAGGACACCCATTCCAAGTTACGGATGGAGTCTTCCAGATTCTTCAGATCTGCCTTCAGTGGGTTCCCGTTTGAAAAACAGAACGGTTTATTTTACTGGTTTGGAGTGTTTGCTCCTTTTCTAGCTAGATCATTTGCTTTTTTATTGCCTTCTATCCCTTGGTGAGCAGGCACCCTGAGTAGAAGGACCCCGAATAGTGTACGCATCTTTCGATAGCGTAAATTTCTGCCTGAAGGATTCCTGTTTTAGGAATAAAAGTTCCAAAAAAGAAAGCAAGGTTACACCAAGAAGAAGCCCTGAAGATTTTAATAGATTTTTTGTTACTTTTTAAAATTATAATTTATGAAATAAGTTGTTTTGGTCTAAACAAAATAAAATGTTGACATAAATTATTGTTATTATACCGTAGATTACAGTTGAGGGTTGGAACCTTTGGTGTTACACAGCAAAATAAAAACACTAAATCACCACAATACACCAAAACACTTTTACTTTTACACTGGACGCGCGTTTTGCTAACCATGTTAGCATCATCATCAGATGATTATAAACTAAAGTACAATCTACAAGTTGAGCATTTATATACTCACTCAGTGGGCACCGAGTGGGCGTGGCAAAATCTAGCCAACCGAGTCAGAGCCCACTAAGCGTAACAGTATTAGTTATTATTGTATTAGTTATTAGAGATACTAATAATTGCCTGGAATTTGATATCTATAGGAAAAATACGACCACACGCAGATATATTCCTAATGAATCACATCATAGTGTTGAACATAAAATGGCTAGTTTAAATTTCTTGGTTCATAGATTACTTAGTTTCCCACTTTCCAACGAAAGATATGAAATAGAAAGAGATTACATTAGGAATGTAGCTGAGTGTAATGGATATTCTCCTTCAGTAGTTGATAAATTAATTAGAAAACGTAGGTATAGGTTAATGATTTCTGAAAATTCGACTTTTCAAGTGGAGAAAGATACGTCTAAATATTTTTCGATGCCGTTTGATAGAGAGTCATCCCGTAGTCTAAAAGGAATTTTTAAGAATGTCAATTATAAACTTGTGTATAGTGCTAATAATAAATTACAACAATTATTAGGTAATCCAAAAGATAAAACACCTCGACTGGAAAAATCGGGTATTTATGAAATTTCTTGTAAAGATTGCAATCAGAGATATGTTGGGCAAACTAGAAGATCAATATTAACTAGATTTAAAGAACATTTAGCTCAGATAAGATATGGTAGACCAGATAAATCTTGCGTTGCCGAACATATTGTTGATAAAGAACATTGTATAGATCTTAATAATTTAAAATTAATTAAACAAGTCTCAAATTACAGGCAATTAGATGCATATGAAAGCATCAGAATTAATAAATGTAAAGATAGTATGAACAGAGTCAACGGCCCAATTCCTTCAAGTTCTTTGTTCCTACTACTCTAGTAGCGGAAATCTAACTGTTACGCTCAGTGGGCTCTGACTCGGTTGGCTAGATTTTGCCACGCCCACTCGATGCCTACTGAGCGAGTATATAAACGCTCAACTTGTAGATTGTACTTTAGTTTATAATCATCTGCTGATGATGCTAACATGGTTAGCGAAACGCGCGTCCAGTGTAAAAGTAAAAGAGTTTTGGTGTATTGTGGTGATTTAGAGTTTTTATTTTGCTTTTTATTATACCGTAAATTATTCAATATGCTTATGCTCATAGCTGATTAAACTTTGATCATTTTTTAATCTGCCTAAGTCTGATTAGGCTTTTTGCAAAGTGACTGAAAATAGATAAGTTTTTTGTAAAAATTCCTTCTTTTGTTTAAAATGCCGCCGTTTTATAAAATGCCTAGTCTTTTTGCAAAAAGCCAGATTGTTATATGCGCTTGCGACAGATACATTTACATAACTATAACTGGCTATTTTGGGTAGGATAGCAATTTGAGGATTATTTTGATATCCAATGTGGTCTTCTTTGGAGCACGTCATGCATAATCAATTGGGTCTTCATTTCTCGATAGCAACGGAAAAACTTTCTAGATTACCTTTGTTGCATGATTACTTACTTCTCTATCCTTTATCATTGCCAGTACTTACTCCTGCTACTAAAGAAGTTTAGACTTATTAGTTACCCAAAACTTATATTAAATTCTATTGTTTCAGTAAACTAATGGCCAAAACTAACAACGATCCCAGCAGGCAAGAAGTTGAGCAGTTCGTGAATGAAAATTTCATAAGCCAAGCTGAGACGGTAAATACAATATACTTGATTACACGTTATAATTAATAGTAAGTAATGGGCAACTTTGCTGTGGAATACTCATAGGATTAAAAAAAATATATTTTTTACGTTTACAGAAACACATAAAACATGTTTTATGTCTCATAAAAATATTTTTAATAAGTTTAATAATAACAAAAAACAAAACTAAAATGACTATAAAGATAACATTTTTACAGCATAGTATGTTTTTGAAATAGAGTGAACATGGCTTTGAATATTGTTACGTTTTTTGTCCGTTCGATGTGGATAGAAAGTCATTTATTTAAACACAATTTATTTTATAATAAGTGACAAAACAATACGATAAAACTACTTACTATTTAACTATTTATCTAAAGGGAATTTATTTTGAATTTAGCGGGGCAATTGTACGCGTCGACCGATCTGTTTGTTTCTGTCCCTCCTTTGCACAGGCCTTGGGTTATACAGACCGGACCACCGTAGTAGTAACATATAGGCAGAACCGGACGAATTAGCGTATACCCGTCCGCCGGATAAAAAGCAGGCGAAAAAATGCGATAAAATAAAAATAGGTCGATATGTGATAAGAATGTTTCAGAATTTGTATTTATTCGTGTTTTAATAGCCAAAACGAATACGTAGATTCTCGCGACAGTTCTCGTATAAAATTTATTTTTTAAGTAAAATAATGGATGTTTATGAAGTTCGTGAGAAAATTCAAATTGTAAAATGGTATTTCCAAAATAGGTTTTATCGGGATATACAAACAATTTTTCCACAAACTTTTGTAAACAGGCCAACGCCATCTTTATCTACTATATCAAGAGTTAATAATAATTTTGAAACACATGGGTGCGTGTCCCCACAAAAACACAAAAAGCCTGATGTGTTGATTAATGTAGAACAGGAGTTAAAGCAAATTTTCGTTTGTGCTACCGCGGATCAAAATCCCACGTTTTCAAGTAATCAAATTGCTGAGGTGGTTGCCCTGCACAATGCCCGTATTGTTCAAGGATATTTGAAGAATACTTTTCCCAACCGTTTAATTAGTGGATATGGAACTATTTTGTGGCCCGCTAGATCACCAGATCTTTCTCCCAATGATTTATTTTGTGGGGTTATGTAAAATCCAAAGTGTATGGTCATAATAGGGCTAATAATCTGGATGAGTTCAAGTAAAAATACGAGAGGCTTTCCAAACTATTAGCCCTAATATGTTAGCCAATGTCAGACGGAGATTTTACGACCGCCTAGGCTTCTGTCACAGAATATCTAGCTACGCAAGATATTCTGTGCTTCTGTCTAGCACAAGAAGGTGGTCTTTTTGAACACTTGTTATAACTTTTTTTTATTTAGAGTAATATTATAGTTTTTTTTGTGGTTTAGAGAATTTAGTTATTTTTAGTTTTGGCTTGTAAACACAAGATCAAATAATAAATATTTAAGTATTTTTATTTTAAATGTTACCTTAAGTGAAGGTAAACACTTAAAATGAAAATAATAAATACACGGCACTCCTCGCTTCATATTCCTAGTCTGTCACGACCGACCCGTCCAAGCACAACTGCAACTGCGTACTGCCCTACCAGCCGACTAGCCGGCAGTGACTCTCGAGTACGAACGCAAAACGGGTAAACGTAAATTCGTCCGGCAACTTGCTATGTTACTAGTAGCCTGGTCTTCTCTGTATACCCACAGTTAAACAGTTTTCGAATAGTCCATTAGATCATTAGGTGTATAGAGAAGGTTTAGAATGTTCTCGTATGAACACCGCCATTCCAGTGGAACTCGATTGTTCTCGAACGTTCGACGAGTCACTACGGTGTCTCTTCTTTAATGCGATTCCAACGTTACAGCGGGTTAGGCTGAGTCGGGTGACTATACCGGGTGATTAAAATCCGACTCACACTCACAGTTGGGATCTCTAGAATAGTAATAAAGAGAGAGTGGCCCAAATAGGAACAAAATTGCGTATCAGTCCTTGAAAAAGTCCTACAAGAGCGCTGCGCTGGAGTCATGATCACTAAATCCCACGTATGCAGGATGCAAGAAAACCGCCTACCAAAATCTCTTCTTTACAGTGAGCTTGTAGATAGTAAGAGGAAACCGGATGGATAATTTAAAAGGTACAAGGATATAGTTTCCATGAAAACTTAAAGAGGATAAGCATGCAAAATCAGTGGGAGGAAGTAGAGCACAATAGAACGCAATGGAGAAGAGTTGTAACTCAGTTAACAACGACAACCAAAAAGTAAAGAGGCAACAAAGTAATGAGATTTTTGAATGTCCGAAATGCGGAAGAGAGGTAACATCACGTGTCGGGCTTTTCAGTCACAGAAAAGCTCGTGAAAAAAAAAACGCCTTGCTTAACCATCTTCTGATGCGTGTCAAATACTCGTCAGCGAGTAATAGCAGTAAGTAAGGTACTACAAATTCGAAAAAAAAGATCACGTTACTGTTAGGTGCTTCCCCTAGGAGATGCAAGACCTTGTCGTTGGTGGGGAAGCTCCTGGTCAGGTGCTGGGGGGAATCCCCTCTAGCACTTAGCTTGGTCTAAGAAGCATCTCACTCATCGTCTTGTCCCTGACTGTAGTGTCGTGGCCAGGGAATTGCACCAAGACATATAACGATACCGGGCGGGGCTACGGACAGCCTCAACCTTGGGGCACCGGGGGGCACCCCATTGTATTTTACCCCTTACTTCTACATGCGGGGCTCTGTAGAAGTGGACCGACTGTCCCTAGCGACTCATAGGAACACTATGAGATCTGGTAATAATAGTAATAAAAACATCACCGGTGAAGCTGTGGGGAAACCCCCTAGCGACACTGGGAACAGTAACAATGAAAGTTCCAAGGGGCCAAACCCAAAGAGAACTACAGGAGAGGTGGCTGACACTTGCGTGAGACCATCCTCCGCAAGTGGCATACAAGCTACCACCTCCTCCAAGGGTCGGGAGCCTACCTCCTACCTCTAAACCCAACAGGCGACACAAGCTACCGTTTCGTCTACCCGGCCTGGGTCGTAGCTCCTCGCCTGTGAGGGACACGGGTCTCCGTAGGAAGTCCTGGGACTATATGATGAGTTATAACTCAAGAAAGAGGGACACAATAGATCTCTAAGGTCGCAGAGATTAACCCCCCTCCCACTTATTCTAATTCTAATTCTACTGTTAGGTGACACGAAGCCCCGGGTCAGTTAGTTTTTAGGGTTCCGTACTCAAAGGGTAAAAACGGGAACCCTATTACTAAGACTTCGCTGTCCGTCCGTCCGTCTGTCACAAAGGTCTATCTTATGAACCGTTATAGCTAGACAGTTGAAATGTTTACAGATAATGTATCTATGTTGCCGCTATAAGAACAAATACTAAAAACAGAATTAAATAAATGTTTATAAATAAAAAAGTACTTTTACTAAACATTTTCTTTGAGTAAGAATTTTACATAGAATCTTTCAAGTCCTCGGTGGCCGCGTGGTTAAACAGTTAGGACTTTACGCCGCTATGACGTTGGAGCCGTAGTAAGGCAGGTTCGAATCCTAGTCAAGGCGACTTTTTTTAATCGTTTTTTTTTAATTTTTACATATTTTTACATATTTATTTTTACTTTTTACATATTTATTATTGATTAATACAATTTTTAGTAATGTGTTTCTTCATTTTTTTTAACTACTTATACGCGCATTCAAAATTTCAGCTAAATCGGAAAAAAGTTTATAATAATATAGTGTCTAATGTTGTATAAATAATGAATGGTACGGAACCCTTCGTGCGCGAGTCCAACTCGCACTTGACAAATTTTTTAATAGATGTAAAGACACTTTAATACAATAATTAACTGCTAACCTACTCAAATCCCTTTTTGTTGAGCCTAAAATATGTAGCTCTAGACCCTGCTATTAGCAAAATTGGCAAAAGGGTCCCCCATTCTATAACCAATATAAAAATCACTCTTGTGCTGACTCGACAACAGATTTTCAATATAATCCAGCTAATATTTGGACCCTTTTCTCCAAACCATTTATACAATACCTACTTTATTAAAAAACATAAATCTTTAGACAGACTTTTTGTCCTTTCTGAAAATAAAGTAATCCATTCAATTTTCAGAAAACTTGTAACTTTATTCGATTAATTTTATATCGGGTTATAAACCGTATTACCATTTTACAGATAAATATTAAATATAAATCTGGATATACACCGGGCGTTTTTCAAAAGTGTATCACCCCTATAACTGTTTTATTTTTTAGACAAAAAAAACGAGATTTGGTAGGTTAGTATATATGACACAAATCAGGATTGGTTGACGCATTCAATTATTTTTGGCCACTTCCTGTTTGACCGGAAATGACTATAACTTTTGATTTTTAAATTGTACCCTCGCTATTTTTTACTTTATTCGGTATAAAATGACATTCTGAATTTAATTGCGTATTATACGTCAACTTCTGACATTTTTTTCTCACTAAACTGACAAAATTGGCGAGCATGGCTGTGTTCATAACGAAAATACCAAGTATGTGGTACCAAATTATTCGTAAAAAATGCTTTTTTCAATTATGCTAATGAGCCAACCTCTTTTCTTACAAAAAATAGAGTTATGATTAAAAATACGATATGGGCATCTTTTAACTGGCAAGGAAATCATTCACGAAAATCATTGGACGATCAAATCGCTCTTTCATTAAAAATTAGTGGTTTTAACACAAAACTTACTTTTAAGTGAAAATGTCAAAAGTTGACATATCATATGTCATTCTATTCAGAATGTCGTTTTCTATCGACAAGGTATATTGTACAAACGAAGGTACCCAGGATTTACAAACCAGATGCATTCAAAAAACTACTACAAAAACTTGTCAGGTTAGGTTGCCTTGTTGGATCTGTGTCGGAATAAAACTCAATTTGTTTATTTATTGATTGGCGACATTTCGACAAGTATATTTTCTTCCTCAGGTGTAGTCTTGAGGAAAATAAGTATAGTCCTGAGGAAGACAATGTATTTGTGAAACGTCGACCAATCACTAAGTAAAAATCCAGTTGAAACACAGATCCAACAACTAAAAGCAACTTTATCTAGTTTCATTTTTTGTTTGCACCTGATTTGTAGATCTTTGCTACCTTCGTTTGTACAATAAACTTTGTGTGCTTGTATTATTTGTAGAATATAGAATGAAAAGAATGAGTGTGAGGGGGGAGGGTTAATCACAGCGACCTTAAAGATCTATTGTGTCCTCCTTCCTGGAGTTATAACTCAGCATAAGTCTATAACTCTCCATACATGAGGTTTTTCCGGTTGTAACCTAACCTAACCTAACCCTTCCACACGTTTACTGCATGGAAACCCACTCACGAAACATGGAAAAATTTTAAAACAAATTTTTCAGCTGTTTTTCCATAAAAAAAAATTCTGGGTAAGCTCATGATCGATGCATGTAACTTTCAAAGTTGCCATGCTCATAGTAACATTGACTAAGCACGCATAAAACTTGAGAAATTAAAATTGCTCTCTTGTTCAGACAGACACCATGACTGACAGACATCTGACAGACAGACAGACACCATGAAAATATTTTGTATTTAGGTCATTTATGACCCAACTAACTCATTTTGAGTGAAATTAAAAAAACTTTTTTTTTGCCTGTCGGTATGGTCGGCTAAAAAAGAAATAAAGTATTTCGAAAAGCATTACACCGAAATCATTTTGCTGTCACATATTAAGGCCGGTCAATGCCCTCTATAAAAGATCAGCCTACGGGCGGACTTTTGTTTAGTTCATCAGCTGTACATACTTAGATATTGGGTTAGATTCTGTATTCATATTTTGTTGATTTTTGGTATTATTTCTTATTGTAGTGCAAAAAACTAATTATTTTGGTGTTTAAGTGACATAAAGTACTACCAGATATATGATATATGGTCACTATGATGGTCACTCTGTTTCTCATAAAAAAACACGAAATATTACACGTTTTGTTAAGTGCTTTAACCTAAAAGTGCCCATAAATTTTTTATTTATCGTGATTTTTGTGTGTGTTTTTTAAGACTCTAACAATTCATCAATAAAGCTTATGTGGAGTGTGTTTTTGGTGCTATGCCTCATCTTGGACATCAAACTGGACAATTATGTTTATTTTATTCATATTGTGGAATCTCCACTCCAAGTGTTGTTGGTTCAGCTTCGATAGATTTAAATTAAACACGTAAGATAAACACGTAAGTAGGTATTATGATCTAGGGAAAAATAAAGAATATGTGTATTAAAGATCATAAAAAAGATTATTATTTTGAGTTCAAAATTAAAAAAGATTTTTGTAAAGACAAGAATTTTAAAGTTTAAAAGAAGAATGTGTTTTTGTTTGATAATATATAATGTATGTCAAGCATAACATATATTTGTTCAGTAATTTTTACTGAATAGTGTTGATTATTTATAATACCATATTAATATCAAATATTTAAGTGATGGCTGAATACAATATGAATAAAATTGTTATATTTGCAATACAAAATTAAGTTTTAAGAATAAAGGTGTGACTAAAAATACTATGAAATTCATATTTCTTTATTTTAATTGGTCGAATGTTATTTACATTTTACGTAAGAATTATACCGTATCATCGAAAAAAATCGGCGTCTAGTTGGCTTGGAAATGAACATCGATGACATTCCCTAAATAATTGTACACATAAAATAATTAACTAGAATTTTAAAATCTTGGAAAATTTGATATTCTTGAACCTTGTTTCTAAATATTCAAAATTTTTTGATTTTCTTGGGATTTAGGTTCGGGAAAAACGCTGATTAAGTTTTCATTTGGTTTTTCATTGTTTTTTCATTGTTTTCATTTGGTTTTTCATTGTTTTTCATTGTTTTTTTGGTTTAAAAAAAACGTTTTGGCTAACATTATAGCCTTCATCAGAGTTGTGTCATATGAAAAAAATAGTGTCGAATATAATCCAAAAAATTACATATAAAATATTTACACCACGCACCATATAATGTTTACTGCGTACTCCATAGTAAATGTAGATAGTTTTAGTGTTAAGAATAATAATTCTAAAAAATATGTGGTCATTTTTGATAAGTTTATATTAGTTTATTAATTGCAGTAAACATTATGTGGTGTGAATATTTTATATGTAATTTTTTGGATTATATTCGACACTATTTTTTTCATATGACACAACACTGATGAAGGCTATAGTTAGCCGATTTTTTTTAAACCAAATAAAAATAATGAAAACCCAAATGAAAACTTAAATCAGCGTTTTTCCCGAACCTAAAAATCCCAAGAAAATCAAAAATTTTAGAATAATGTTACATATAAAATGCCAGCGATCTTCATTTCATAGCCATCGCTGACGCCTTTTTTTAGATGATATTGTATTATTTGTAAATATAATTTTTCGAACATTGGTACTTGCAAAATATACATATAAATTTTGTTGAATGCAAATAATAATACATCACTATTAGTAGATATTGAATGTTTTTTGTTAAATAAGATCGATTTTTAAACCCCAAAATTTAAAATATATTTACATTTTACCCAATATCTTATGTAATACATTATTTGTATATTGTAAAACATTTGCTGCATTTGTATGGTTCATAGTTTATTTGCCAAAGTATTTATTAATATAAATAGGTATATATGTTGTCGTTATTAACTGTATATTATGTATATTTCATGTAAACTATATCATTTTTAAAATACAAACCAAAAATCTGAGGAATAATTATGTTTTCCATGTATTCTACAACATATTTATTAATCCGTAGTATCTAACTAGCGTGACGTCATAAATCTCGCCCCAAGGCTGTTCTATTAGAGACGGCATTGGCCCGGTATACTTGTTCAATTTGGAGAAAACGACACTTTTACAGCACCATTAGCCGTACTTTAATACAAATAAAAGAATAAATGAGCTTATTGCCCGAAATTTCCAACGCCACTCTTTTTACTGCGCCTAAATAAAAAAACCCTGTGAAATAAATTTATCGTGTAACGTTAAAGGCACGGCACAATAAGGGGAGGAATAAAAAGAAACGGTTAGAGAAAAATAATTTATTATTTTCTTTCATTAGAAATATGCTAGTTAGCAAACTGTATATAAATATATCAATCTAAATTCGTAAAATAAGTTTTTTTATAAACTTCAGTATTTGGCTTATTATACAGGGTTATTCGAAGGATTGCTTTTTTACCCTATCTTAAAAACACCCTGTGCAATAATTTCTTGAGCAACGAGCAATTTTTTCTAAAACATTATTTTTCGATCAGAACCATGTCTTCTGAGCATTTTGTTTTTTGATTCATGTCAACACATGCCTTTGTTAATTTTTAAGAGCGAAATGAACTTGCCACAATTTGCAATATATTCAATCATAACTGAAGAGATCGCAAATTATTTTTTTATTGCTGTATATACTATTATTAGACTTTTTAGTTTTTATTTATTTTTTATTTGTGTTTTAGGTAGAGTGGGCCCCTCCAGATTTCAACCCCTCCCCAAGCTTTTTGCAGAACATCAACGATGAATCAGTAAGGGTTTTCGCAAAGAACGTTGTAGGCATCTGGCCGACTTTAGGAAGAAACGTATCTTCAGATGTCGAACAGAATCCTGAGAAACATTCCATCATTCCTATTCCTAATGGATTCATTATACCAGGTGGAAGATTTAGGTACTGAATTAAATATATCTGAGAATACCTGATAGCTTTTAGACCTTATAACCCACAAAATTCTAAAAGTTACTGGTTTGTGGAAGTATGCTTTGGAATTAAATAAGACAATAGAAAATTTCATTAATGACTTATATTTATTTAACAATTATAAACAATCAATGTAATTGGCTGTGACAGTCTCGATTATATGAGATTAGATATGCAACTGGAATACTCAAGTGTTTCTGCTTCGGTTGGTTGGGAGAAAGGCCTCACCCTCTTCGCTGCACTCGTCCGCTGGTGGGTAGAGTGATTGTCCGGCTAACGTTGGAGAGCGACTCCACCAGTCTCAGTGCGTGAGCTACTTATGGGGAGGGTCAATTCTCGTATCTTCCTTGAAGATAACAAACAGCAGTATTCTACTCAACACAATTGATAAGTACCCAGTTTTGTGGTGGTGTTCTAAATTACCAATTGAACTGTCTGTTGGTTGCCAATGAAGGTACAATAAAAATAACTTATGATTAAACGACATATTAGTGATTCAAGTAAACAATAATCAATATCTAAATCCAACTACTAATTATTATAATAAAAATTATAATTAAAATTTAAAAAAGAAAATAGGCAATGACAGTTTAAATTAAGTTATAATTGAAAAAAATTGTCCAAATTATTTAAAGAATATAAAGCATATAAATATAGAATTATAAAAAAATATAAAAGAAAAATATTTTGCTCTCTCTCTCTAGAAAATTCCAGACCACCACAATCACTTCGGTACGACTTGAAAGAATATATACATTGTTACAGTAAATTATTTGATTTAATTTGTAGACACGTGTAAAAAGAATAAAAAAATATGTAAGAAAAAAAAACTAGAAATATATGAAAATTTAAATTAGAACAAAAGTTAATAATAAAAGGCTATATTAAAAGATAAATTAAAAAACTAGATAGAAAGATAAAGCTAAATAGGAAGATAGGATAAGATACGAAAAACGATAAATGCGGCAATTCGACAGATAAAAACTAAAAGAAAAGATATGTCACTCCAGGAACAAAGATAATGCATCCGCCAAATAAGATAAAGATAAGGTAAGGGAAATTTGGCAGATACGAGGTAAAGATACGTTCCCTAGAGTGACCCAAAAACAACAAAAAAAACAAAAATCTATCTGTCGAATGGCCTGCCAATAGACACCACCACTACAGGGTCCAGATAAAACAAGAGTTGCCTTCTGGCAAGCAAGGATTCGTTAAAGGTGACATAAGTCGTATAATATAAATATTATAAAAAATCCTTACTTACCAGAATCCCTCCTGGTTCGTCTCTGAGAGTACTCCTGCAGTGATTGATTCTATTCATGGCCCCTGAGATTGCTAAATCGAACACCTCTGCGGGTTCTTGTTCGACAGCTTGCGTCTCAGTACATAAATAAGAAAAATAAAAATAATTAGTTCTAAATAAAAGTTAAAGGTATTAGAAAATTTTTTACAAAACTACCATACACATGCTACTAAAGAAATGATGATAAAAAAATGAACTGTGAGATAAAAAGATAAAATAGAAAAAGGAATTTAAAGTTACAAGCTAATTAAATAATTAAATCAAATAATTAAATCATATTAGATAGTAAGAAATGTTTAAAAAAATAAAACTAATAAATAATTTCCAAGTCGTACCTCGTGCCGGTGTCTGGAAAAAAAACTAGGTGTTTAAGCAAAGAAGATCGAGATGAGAGAGAGTGATTTTCGGCAAAACAAGTCCCTTTATAGAATTCTCCCATTCATTTAGACATGCGTTAAGTACCAAAAAAATGTGTGTAACAATTGCATCTTAATTATTTAACACTAAACAAAATATTAATAATAAACCTTCGTTTTCATTAAAAATAAACAAATTATTATCGGTAACCCATAGGCAACCAGAAAATATATAAAATATTTAAACAATTTAAACTAAAAACCATCGCTAGTGATATGTACCACTATCGAGGTTCCGCAAAAAATCGATAATATATGTATAAAAAAACGTATAAACGATATAAAAGGAAAAATGTAACGAAAATATTTTCGTTACAACCTTCTCTTTTTTTCATGTTAACATTAAAACAAATTCACTCATTTTTAACAATTCACCATATTATATAATTCGTACTGCATCTTAAGTATGAAGATCGCTGTCATTTTATATGAAAATTTATATAGGAAATGTCATCGATCGCCATTTCCCAGCCAACTGGATGTCGTTTTTTTTTTTCGATCATTTGGTACAAAGTAGGTACCGCATATTTGCCAAATGCACGACAATCCTCTGCCTGCAATAGCTTGCAATGTCCTGCTTGCAAACAATCTCCCTACTATAGTTTTGACAATCTGCCTGCCTCTGCTTTGCAGGACCAACTTTCTCTTCACCTGCCTCTGTCTTGGTGAATTTCTTCTCCATTCTAGAGATTTGTTGACCACACACCGTGGTCTAGTCATTCTTGTAAATGCTTTTGCAGCGCCGCAAAACGGGTTTGGGCTTATGAATAGCATTGGCGAGCCTCGTTTGACCATTTCACCTACCTTTTCCTTTACCCTTATAACCCTCGTGCCCAGGTACCCAGGTTAACGTAACATTGCTACAAAAGAAAGTAGGCCTGCTACAGTCTGACAAAACAGTTAAGCTTAATTTTCATGCATACGTTGTCCGACGATACGATATTAATTTTATTGGTTGAATTTAAAGACTTCGATTGGTTAGAAAATTACACAGTTTTTCAAGTTATTGCATTTTCATGCCTTGTTGATACGATTTGCTTGTCATTGGTGTCATTTTATATTTTCATTTCCATAACGATTTCGTTGTTTTACTATAGTCTAAGATCTAGCAACCTTTTTTGAGAGAGAATTTTAAGGAAGCTGGTTCTTTATAATATATCTTTTTAAAGGCAACGGCCTAACTACGTTGAAACACCGGTTCCGATTAGAGCATAGAAGTTAAGCGACGTAAGGCGATACTGATGGATGGACGGGTGACCGGTTCGAAACTCTCTAGGTATCGTGCTGTTATCCAAGGGAAAAGTGTAAAATCTATTGATACACACCGCTCATTCACGCCGGTTCGAGGCCGGATGAGATCGGATATCTCGTGAGTAAGAATTAATTTAGACACTTCTTAAGTCGGTAACTGACCATGATATGGCCGAGGACCGCGGTTCGGGTTCCGCGTAAACAAAGTAGGCCCCGTCCAGTTTAGCCCTGGCAGCAAAAAGGAGACGTTAACTGAAATCTTTACTTTACTTTAATATATCTTTTGTTATGCTCTCCTGAACAGAGTGCGGACCGTCTGACTACCGGTAAACGTTGCGTTCAGTACTGCGCATCAATCTGTATTCAACATCTGTTAACTACTGCGCATCACAAATTCGCCCTGTATTTCAGGAACTAAGGAGGCTAGGACAAACCGATGTGTAGCATATTTAGTTTCATAAAAAAGTAGCAAAGTAATGTGAAAATCGCATCAGTATCTCTACTCATAAACGAGAAATCTCATAAATCACACGAAAATGGGATGCCCTAGATAGATGTGATGCGCAGTGATGAATCGCAGTAGTCTATCGGCAGCCAGACGACCCGCCCTTTGGTCAGGAGAGCATAGCAAAAGATATATTAAAAAACCAGCTTTCTTAAAATGTTCGTTTTCCTGACGGTACTAGCTCTTGTACTATTATATTTTTAATAAGGTTAGATAAAATTTGTCAACAAAGTGTCAAAACGTTGACGGGCTGGTGCAGAGAGAACACTAATATCTTTCTTAAATCTTTCAAGTTTATAATAAGAAATCTTCGTAGTTTTTTTAGATTATTTTGTTGACAACGAAAATTTATTATTAGACTTTAAAGCATTAAAACCTATAAATAAAATACTGTGTAGGAACATAATAATTTATTTAACTCCATACTCCTTGCCATACTCCAACTCAAGGCTGCAATCTTCATTATCTTTTTTATCTAACTTGGTTGGGAGTGAACAGGGAAGCACGGTTGGGAGCTCGCACAGAGTATCAGTAGGTATCCCGTAGGTATTCAATGTTTTTGATAGTCTTTATTCTATAACAAGAACCTAGCAGTTCAAGAAAATAATTTGTATTACTGGAAATAATACTAGGTATAATACCAGATAATACCTAGTCGTTCCATAGGTATCAGAAAAGAATGTGATGTTTTAAATTAAAAAAAATAAATTAGCAATGTACGATTATTATGTGAACTCACTATTACTATTAGGTATGTTAAAATAATTACCGAGATAAAACTTACCTTTAAAGGAAACGTTTTGTCTGGGTCTCAACCACAAAACAAAAATTACAAAAATGCCGAATAATCGTGGAATCTGAAATAATCAATAATGACAATAATCTTCTCTTCTGACAAGCTAAAAGAACAGGCACATTCAGTTAAAAACAATTTATTACTCCGATTTGCTCCGATTATCAGCAGATTTTAGTTATCTCCTTCTAGAACTAAGAAATAGAAAAAGCTACTGACAATCTGATTAATCCTGTCAAATGTTTACCTTGCAAAGTTGAAAAAAGTTCCTTTTTTGACCGCCTAAACGCTATGCGCGTCTGGGATGCGCGGTGACAAAATAAACTTGTCTACGAAATGCCCTATTCCACAAGCCCTCCCACTTTAGTTATTAGTTTCTCTCTGGGCTGGTGTAAAAAACTGACGGATGAAAAGTATCAACGGATAACGGATGCATGAAAATCAAGCAATATATTTTATAATTTATGTTTCAGAGAATCCTACTACTGGGACTCCTTCTGGATCATCAGGGGTCTCCTCATCAGCGACATGCCGCTCACCGTCAAGAGCATGCTCAGCAACTTCTGTTACTTAATCGAAAATTTCGGCTTCATCCCTAACGGGGCCAGGGTCTACTACTTAAACCGCTCGCAGCCTCCACTGTTCTCCCTCATGGTGGCGCTGTACATCGACCACACCAACGACACGGATTGGCTGGTCGAGAATGTCCAGTATGTCGAGAAAGAGTTGAATTTCTGGCTGGATAACAAAACGGTTGAGGTGGAGAAGGATGGTGAAAAATATACGTTGGCTCATTATAACTCGAAGAGTAACACGCCTAGGTCTGAATCGTTTAGTGAAGACGTGAAAACTTGTAATTTTTATACAAATGAGGATGATAAGGTAAGTTTGAAACAGTGAGGGTTTCTAAATAATTAATGAAACTAAAGGAATTTGGAACTTCTATTTATTTTAAAAAATGTCTATACCAATGTGGCAGATTCATCTATCCAAAAAAATTCTATGGGTATTTTTCCACTGGAAGAAAATCTACAAAATAAAATAGTTATTTTTTTGTAAACACTGCTGCGTTAATCCAACGGAGACTAAGTGTCAGCAGTGGCCTACTAATGAACAAAGTTGCCTAAACATTAAACGAAATATAATAATAGCTCCCGCATATAGCGTTTAACGCCTTGGGAGTAGCAAGGTACAGCTTGCTATACCAGAGCCGTTCGGTATACAACGAAGGTAATGTGGCTAGCACTACGCTTCAACCGCCTATTATTACCTCAGGATTGTGAATCCCAAGTACTCATTTAAGGCTGAGTCGACCTAGGTACCCAAACTATTTTTATTTTAATAAAAATAGTCGGCTGATGAAATGCCGGGTGTGGGATTCGAACCCACTACCTGGAGATTGGTAGACGAGAGCCTGTACCTCTACGCCACCAGGCACCTTTACATTAAACGAAATACAAACGCCAAATCATAGACAGAATACAATTGTTTCGACAAGACAATACAGAATCATTGACTACTGCATTTAAAAAGAAACACCAAATTCAAAACCTCTTCTTGAGAAAAAGAAAACAATTTAATATTGTTTTTTCCATAGCAACTGTTAAAATTGCCTTATATCTGTCAAAATAGTAGATAAAATCTTTGAATAAGAAGACTAAGGAAGGAGCATAATGCTATCCATGAATTCATGCATGGTGGGCGGAAAAAGCACTCTAGGGTGGGGATCCTTGACAGTTCTGTTTGACGATTCATTTGACACATTTGAATTTGATTTGAAATTTTGTGGATTCGTCAGTCTTTACGGAGCTTATTTTATGTTATTTATTATTTATTCTACTACTGATAGTTGTATAAAGGTAGTAAATCTAGATGGAAATTGTGGCAGAACTTAAATTAACAGTGACACTATCGCGATTTATCGAAAAAGACTCTAAAATAGTTGGTTGTGTAGCGTGCGGTAGATCTCGGCAAAAATTGAGTGAAATAATGAAACAACTTTTCGCTAGTAAGTGACTATATAATATACATACGTGTAGTAAACCGATCATTTATGAAATTCACTTAAATTAACTAAATTATATATTATTCTTGCATTTTAGCTTTTATTTATTACTTTTCAAAGATTAGATGTCAAAGAATTTAGATACGTTCAAAGAATATACCTAGCTAGAAAAAGAATGGACTCTGCCATACTAAAAAATGGTCCTACAGAAGTGGCGCCATCTATTGAGTAGGGCTTGTTTTAAATGGATCGAAGCGCGGGCTTTTTAAATGAGCGTATTTATTGAATTCTACTCTAAAATATATAATTAAATATGATTATTAAATCAAGTATCGTTGTGATGTGTAAAAAATAAGATTTAACAGTATAATTTATACAATTATTAAATAAAATTAAAGCCAAACATGTGAAATATTATTTATTATTTAAAGTTTTTATTTATAAGTCCAATATTTAAACATCGTTTATTATAATAAAACAAGACCAACGTAATACGCCCAAAGTTTTGTAAATGGAGTAAATATAAATAGGTACTTAAATGATGGCAAAAATAAAAGACTTACATGATATTTTTAGGGCCACAAAAACAAAGGAATTGTGTAATTAAAATATGATTAAAAAACATATAACAAATTATAGTTTGAAAAACATTTTGATAATCATTTATTTGATAATATTATGATTGGCGCTATGACAACGCCAATATTTTTTGGGAATTTGACAATAATATGACAATGGCCGTTGGAATCTATGGAAACTACAAAAAATTCTGATTTAACGCCATCTGGTCTCTGCCATCTCGTGGAAACGGTGGAACCGCTTTTGCTATTTCACTTTCCAGCCCCTGGTCTTCTTATTCAAAGGTTTTTGTTTGCCGTTGTTCCTAGCGACCGCTATAGCAGCGCCAGATCGCGTATAACGGTCGCGATCCAAAATAATTTCGCGACCCAAAATATTTACGGGCTTTCCAATCTAAACTTGTTGCATTTATCTATGGATTAAATGATACTTTAACAGCGCAGATAGGTTAAACTCTTTATTCTGTGACGTTTTTTTAATTGCTTCCATTTTTGAAAATGTTTGTACATATTCCTTTTCATAAGTTATTCGGGATTTAAATGGAAGTAGTTTGGATATGGCGTTTGTCGCCTCAGCCTGAATATCTGTTGGTAATTTACTTATTTCGTTTTGAGCCATTTCTGGCTCCAATTTAATCAGCAATCGACACGAAAGAAAATTAAAAAATATTGACTCAAAACTGACAACTAAAGAGACAGCTTTATTTATTTGTCAAATTACATAGAAACCAACGCCAACCCAGCACAATATTTTTTCTACTCGTAATAAATTCCTTGAAATAATAATTTCTGAATATTTTTTAAAACGTAACTCGCTATGGAAAGAGATATTGTTTTATACACGACGATAAAATTGCATTATCGTCTCCAGAAATTAATTCACTCGCGATTTCATCGCCCGTGAATTAATCTTTTCGGTCGACGATAAAATACCAATTTATGGTCTTGTATAAATAATAACTTATTTATTTCTTTCATTAATTCAGCAATTGTGTTATCAATCACTCAAAACTGGAGCAGAAACAGGTTGGGACTTTTCAAGCAGATGGTTCTTCGACGACAATGGCGGTACCAAGAGCAATCTGAGTCACATCCGACCCCAAAGACTTATTCCTGTAGATCTTAATTCTTACCTCTGCAAAGGTTTCAGGGAAATGTCAAATTTCTACGGAATTCTTGGCAACAGTGAAAAACAAAACGAATGGTTGGAAAAAGCTGATGCTTGGACTGAAAAAATTCAACTTGTAAGTTGACCAAATATATCAAATAGTTTATTAAATACAGTTAAAATAGTAAACAGGAATACAATTATTATTATTATGTTACACTCAGATACAAAAAAAACGCTACGAAGAAAATTTTGGTCAAATTTAAAGTGTTATATTTTTGTTATTTTTAGCCCTATTTTTATGATTTTTTTAGCAAACTATACATAATTATATCAACTTTAATTCGTAAACTAAATTTTTTATAAACTTTAGTATTTGGCATATTATACAGGGTTAAAAGAGGGGTTGCTTTACCCGAACTTTCAAACACCCTGTGCAGTAATTTCGTGTGTAAATTTTTCTAAAATATAATTTTACGGTCAGAACCATGACTCCTGAGCATTATGTCAATACATGCTTAGGTTAATTTTTAAGAGCGAAATGAACTGATCAATTTGCAATGTTTTAAATTCTCATTATTTTTTGAAGTAATTTTTAATATGAGATGGTTTTGGTGATACTCTATACTAAATTAAAAAAAAAACGTTAAAGACTAACAATACAGTCCTGGTTTTAATAAACATTCATAACGATAACAAAACTAACAATATTAAAGAAAACATCTGTAATACTCAAGTATACAAACAGAAAAAAAAATTGTAAAAAATACCCTAACACTTTGTATTGCCCCCCTTGTCTGCTACAACTGCCTGTATACGTCCGTTCAAACTGTCATTGAGGCTGCATATATTAGATTGCGTTATGCTTTCCCATTCTTCTTTAAGAACCAAGCGAAATTCATTTAATGAAGCTGGTACCGCTTCGCAACCTCTAACCTACCAGCCAAGCATTTCCCAAACGTCGAACATGATGGACAGTTCATACCGGGTGTTGCATCGTCGAGCGGGACATAGGAAATCCCATATAAATTTTAATGGGGTCAATTATTGGCTTCCCTAATTATTTTAGAGAATAATTCTATTTAGGTTTATTGAAGAGCACTAAAACCCACATTCAAAAGAATAACTTTAGATATTTTTGATTAGCCCGTTTACGAGTTATCGCCGATTTCTTTTTAAATATTTCTTCTTTCTTATGGCCCTGTATTTACTTATGAGCACCAGTCAAGGTAAAAGATAACTGTCAAATGAAGTTGTCATTTCAGAAATTTATCTATTTAGTGCTTTATTATTATTATTAAAAACTCATGCCTACATCGAAAATATTAGCCATGAATTACACTACCGAAGAAAAAGTATTGATGATTAAATGGTATTATCAAGAAAATAGTTATCAAAAGGTGTCGGACATGTTTGCTGCTCTGTATCCGAATAGACCGATACCTGGAAAATCTACAATCGCAAGGAATATCCAGAGATTTGAGACCAAAGGTACCCTAATAAATAACTGCAGATGTGAAGCAAGGCAGGAACAAAGGCAGGATGCAAGAAATGATACCGACTTGGAAGTTTTATTGTGCGTGGAAGAGAACGATGGAAAGATCAGCACAAGGAAACTTGAGGATGAAATAGGAATAGATCACACTACAAACACGAAAAAGCAAACACGGATAGGGAATTTTTAAAAACATATGTTTCACTGACGAATGCACGTTTACCTTAAATAATGAACCCAATGTTCCAAATTATCGATATTGGAACAAATAAAACCAACACAGGTTTGTCGAAACAAGGACGCAATATCCACAGAAAGTAAATGTTTGGGCAGGGATATTCGGACACAATATTATCGGGCCTAACCTAACTACTCGGAAATCATATTTTACCTGCTTTACATGATGCCACTAGGGAAAATCAGGAAGTTTGGTACCAAATGGATGGCTGCCCGGCACATAGTACTCTGGCTGTTCGGGAATATATAGACAATAGTTTTAACGGAAACGTTATTGGCATAAATCATACAGTAAATTGACCAGCAAGGTCTCCTGATATTTCGCCAAATGATTTCTTTCTTTGGGGCCATTTAAAAAACAGGATATACAAGAATAAAAATACCCAAATCTAGACGAATTAAAAAATGCTATTTCTGCCGAATACAATAGAATTTCAGTTTACCAACTAGCGAATGTAAGAAGAGAATGTTATGATTGCCTGGGTTATAGTCTAGCAGTCGATGGAGGAATATTTGAACATCTTCTTAAATCCTAAAGTTCTAACAATTTAATAGTACCTAAATTAATAAGTTATTGAATATTGTAATAATGCTATAGTTAACCTTGTAATTGATTACTTTATTTTATTTTAATTCATATTAATTTGTATTTATAAATACATCTTTAAGATTTCCGATGTAGGAATGAGTTTTCAATAATAAAAAAGCACTAAATAGATAAATTTCTGAAATGACAACTTCATTTGACAGTTATCTTTTACCTTGACTGGTGCTCATAAGTAAATGCAGGGCCATAAGAAAGGAGAAATATTTAAAAAGAAATCGGCGATAACTCGTAAGCGAGCTGATCAAAAATATCTAAAGTTGTTCTTTTAAATGTGGGTTTTAGTGCTCTTCAATAAACCTAAATATAATTATTCTCTAAAATAATTCGTGAAGCCAATAATTGACCCCATTAAAATTTACATGGGATTTCCTATGTCCCGTCCGACGATGCAACACCCGGTATAGTTCACAATAATAACCAAAGCTGCCATGTCATTACTGAAAAATAACTTCAAAAAGACACGATAATGCAAATCAAAAAATTGCAAATTGTTGGTGGCAAGTTCATTTCGCTCTTAAAAATTAACCAAGGCAAGTATTGACATTATCCTAAAAACAATATGCTCGGGAGACATCGTTCTGGCCGTAAAATTATATTTTGGGAAAATTTACAGACGAAATTATTACACAGGGTGTTTTAAAGTTAAATTAAAAAAAAACAACCCTTGTTTAACCCTGTATAATATGCCAAATACTAAAATTTATAAAAAAAACTCAGTTTACGAATTAAAGTTGATATAATTATATACAGCTTGCGAAAAAAAATATAAAAATAGAGCTAAAAATAACAAAAATATAACACTTTAAATTTGACAAAAAAATTCTCCGTTTTTTGGATCTGAGTGTATATAAATACAATTACTTGTATTATTTCACAGATTCTATACAATACAGAAGACGGTATTTGGTACGATTACGACACAGAACTACAAAGTCCAAGGAAAGACTTCTACCCTAGCAATTTCGCACCCTTATGGGCCGACGCCTATGACACTTCTCTCAAAGAGGAGTACGGCAAAAGGGCGGCAGAGTACTTCGTTAAGGAGGGAATCGACCAGTTTCCAGGGGGAATCCCAACGTCGCTAGACCAGAGTGGGGAGCAGTGGGATTTCAGTAATGCCTGGCCACCACTGCAAGAACTGGTAGTGCTGGGATTGAAGAACAGTGGAAACGATGAGGCTGTAGAATTGGCTAAGGCTATGGGCACTAGGTAACTATTAAGCTGTAATTTCTGAAACACTAAGAGTACTTTCATTTTTTTTTCTAACAAGGGGCCGTCCTCTACCGGGAACACTTTTGAGGCCTATTGTGTTTGTCCCCTTTCTATATCTGCACCCATTCTCCTATCCCTGTACCCTGCACTAACTTATGCAGGTCCTTGATAGGATGGGTTCCTCCGGTTCTAGCCTAGCTTTCCCAAATAAAAGCTTGCGATCCAGAGCCTCGCAGTGACATATTACGTGCTCCGCTGTTTCAGGATCATTTTCGCAGAGTCTGCAGCAAAAACTTCCTTGATACAGGTTGAGCTTCAAGAGGTCCTGTCAATAGGCTCGTTGTAATCCGCACTTTATTCCTGCTAAGCATTAGCAGTTCTTTTGTGGTTTTAGAGCTAGGCTTGAATAAAGGTCTTGCTGTGCCTATGCCCCTGTCTGTTTCTCCAGTGGACATTCTGCTTTTCCCTGATCCAGAGTTTTAGTGCACTATGGGCCGTACATTTGGGTATTCCCAGCACTGGCTCTGGACCAAGATAGCATGCCGGTAATCCTTGCCTAGCTAGTTCATCGACTTTTCGTTGCCTTGAATGCCGCTGTGGGCCGGCACCCAGAATAATTTAATTCTGTTCCTTCGTGCCAGAGCTCCCAGTTCACCTAGGGCATTCCCAGACGAGTCTCGACGATACCTTTAGGCCCATAAACGCCCCAAGTGCCGCCTGACTCTCTGGGCATATATTGATGAGCTTGCATGAATAAGCTCTTTTATTATTTTCTCTCGCACATTGTAGAATGGTGAAGATTTCTGTCTGGAATACGGTTGAGTATTTACCCAAGGAAAAGGATAAGCTTAGCCTTGGTCTTTCCCCAAATACTCCAGCTCCTATTCCTTCAGCGTTCTTTGACCCGTCTTTGTACCAGGTTAGTCCATCCTGAAGGAATATTATATCAGTTCACATTCCTCGATCCATTTTGTTCACCTTGAATGGTTTGTGGTAGCGATAAAGAGGGGTCATTTGGTCCGAGCTCATTTGGAATAGAGGTTGATAGAGGTCCTCCGAGCGATAAAATGTAAATAATTTTGTCTCCCTTTATTTAGATGTATTTGGTATAAACATTATTTACCTAACAAATCTTTTTTTACAGATGGGTGGCAGCTAACATGAAAGGTTACAGCGAGAGTCAAATAATGTACGAAAAATACGATGCTGTAGCCGCTGGAGAATTTGGAGGGGGTGGAGAATACGTCGTCCAAGCTGGATTTGGATGGACCAATGGCGTGGCACTGCATTTCATTAAATTATTTTATAGTAGTGATGAATAAATATTTATTTAAAATACAGGTAGTTTTCTTATTGACCCTCTTCTAGGGGTATTTATTAAGATTCATATCGCCACTATTTTATTTTGGCTTAAGCCCTCTTTTGTAAAGACGAAAAACGGTCCATTTTACTTTAATTGAATTAAGCCAGAAGACCGTCTAGAGCACTGCTGGCAAACCTATGACACGCGAGCTCACTTTTGGTGACATGCAAGATAAAAAATTTCAGAATTCAAATATTTGTCGATCATAACGGCTCATAACGTAAATTCTAAGTTTTTTTTTTATCTGAAGTCAGTTGGAATAGATTGGGACTCTTAATTTCGGAACTGTCTTTTGCGCAAAGACATTATAAATATAGACCGAACATCTCATTCATAAATACTCGTTGGTAATGTATCAAACATTCCAATGTGTCAAACAAGGACAGAAGAGACAGAGAAGTCTAAAATTTCCGACCCCGGCAACTAGGCGCATTTGGATTGTTCTAATGGCCAGTGGCGTAGGTATCGTTTTTTGGAACGAATTTAATTAGTAAAATAAAAGTAAAGTAATTAGGAAAATGTTTACTCCATATTAATATACTACATTAACACTTTTTCGTCAGATGTAGTAGGTAGTTTTCGAAAATCGCACCAACGTCGATTTTCAATTTAAACTTTCAGTTAATTCTATATAAACTTTCAGTTACTTTTGAATATTTACAGGGTGACTCAGGCTTTCGAAACAGGTCTATATTAGGTTTGTAGTTGGTGGCCGGACATAGGTGGCCGGAACATATTTTCAAACTAAAGTTGTAGATTTGCCATTAAATTTCCATTCCAGAAATACCTAGGGTAGCCACCTGCCCTTTTTTGAAAAGGACAGTACTTTTTTAGAATAACTTGTCCTTTTGACTTTTTTTGACTTAAAAAGTCATTTTTATTTACGTATTTTCCCTGAGAAAATTACCTACAGCAAACAGAAATATTATTTTCGTCCAAATTTAGAGATGTTATAAAACTTATAAATAAATTTTTCTTGTTTAGAATAGGCAACATTATTTAGAACTTCCCGTTTAATCTCAAATGATAATTTAGGTTTTAGTTTTACCTTTTTTGATCTTAAAAAGAACTTTTTAAAATTAGTGATTAGTAACGATTTAGTTAGTTCGCAATCGATAGCTTCCTGTAATGCCTATGTAATAGTTGTTTAATCTTGTATTATTAATAACTTCCTATACCTAAAATCAATATTAATGAGAAAATTGTGTTTTTTTGAAAATATAAGACAAGATTTGACTTCTTGTTTTAATAGCTCAAAATTCAACAAATATAATTAGAAATTAATTTAATTATGAGAGGTTCCCTTGTGGGACGCCTATGTACGGCGATTACGGCGCGGCGGAAACAATACCTACCTGTGAAAAGACAAATTCGGGTAATTTGAGCTTATTTTTCCACACATTTGACACTGTCGTACCATATTGAAAATTCGCAGATTCAAAAAAGTTCAATTCGGACTTGATTCCGACTTCAAACACACCGTAAGCTAAACGTAGTACGCTATAACGGACCAAGGGCCGTCGCGAGGGGTGGTGGAACGGACGGCTCATTTCATTCTGGAAGAATAGCAGCGACGTTGCCAATAGTTCTAGACGTTTCAGCACATTAAACAGTAAACATATCCTTTAATAGTAACGCATATATCCTCTGGTTAATCACGCATGCTTCTTTAAAAATAAACTATTAATTTAATTAAGAAATTGAGATTTATTGATATCCGGTGAAGGTTTTAAAGTCACCTTTTCTGCAAATCAAACTAAGTAGATAGGCGCAAATTTGAGATGTGGCAATGTCGCCTTCTCTATCTCAGTTGGTTTTTACAGTACGTAGTCAACCTCCGATTGTTTAATCGGGTTAAAATGCAAAATGTGATATCTGTTCTTCCTAAATCTATGCTTTTGCGGCTCATTTGTCGTCATCGTGGGATTCGTGGGGACAAAGGAATTAAGAGTCTCAATACTTTCAATTGACTTCGAAAATACTATACCTATTTCTATTTTTTTAGTATTTACTTTTGTAATGTGTGACAATAAGCCACAAAAATTATGTTGCGATTTTTCAAAATTTTGACACGCAGAGCTCAAAAGATTCGCCATCACTGGTCTAAAAAATTGACAGAATTATTCAACAATGTTACAATAAAACTGTAATATAAAAAATATACTTATACCGGGTGCGTCTCAAAAGTGGCTCACCCGTATAACTTTTGTATTTTTTTCAGATAAAAAAAAGAGATTTGGTGTGTTAGTATATGACAAATTAGGATTGATTGACATATTCAATTGTTTTTGGTCACTGTTTCACCGGGAATCACTACTACTTTTGATTTTTTAATGGCACCCTCGGTATTTTTTTACTTTATTCTATAGAAAGTGACTGTGAATATTATGTGTGTGGTATCAAATTATTCGTAAAAAAAATGCTTTTTCCAAATATGCTAATGTGCCACCCTCGTTCCATTTGAAAAAATTAAGATATGATTAAAAATACGATTTGGGAATATTTTAACCGGCCAGAACAAGACACTAAAAACACTAAACGATCAAATCTATTTTTCCAAGGCTCCTTGATTAAAAATGTGAATTTTTAACACAGCCATGGCACTCTAGATTGACATTTGAAATTCAATTTTGTTTTAAGCGAAAATGTCAAAAGTTGACATATGATAATCTCATATCATTCTATTCAGAGTGTCATTTTCTATCAAATAAAGAAAAAAACACCGAGGGTGCCATTTAAAAATCAAAAGTTGTAGTAATTTCCGGTGAAACAAGAAGTGGCCGAAAAGAATTGAAAATTGAAAATTTCGTTTTTTTATCTAAAAAAATAAAAAAGTTATAGGGGGAGCCACTTTTGAGACGCACCCAGTATAAAATGTCAGCGATCTTCATTTCATAGCCATAGCTGACGCCGTTTTTTTTCGATCATAGGGTAGTATTTTTTTAATAAGTATTTTATAACAAATCTACTAAGCAAAACAAATATAACATTCTATTTAAAAGACTTCAACTTTTATGTAAAACATATTTAAATCACCCTGTACATGTATTTTAAAAATATTTATAAAATATGTCCTACATATTGCTTGTATAGATATATAGATTTTGTATAAAGCTTTTTCAGAACCCTAACTTGCCCTAACTATAGATCATCCTGTATAATATTATCAAAAACCTACAATACTTTATGCAAAATCTAAAAATACGGTATAAAAATAGTAATTGATATAGTGATCTATAAAAAAATGTTTTATGCGCCAAACTTTCTAAAAATTATTTTTAATTATAATTTTGAGAAGACTTTCACTAAAACTATTGTATTCTTTGACTCACCCTGTACACAAATTTTAATCAGCTTTTTGAAAAGTATCGTATGCAACCCATCAAACTCTACATAGATGCGACATCTGTAGGCGAGAATCTACGCATATAAAACTGCCATTACAGATTTCTGTATACTGTCGCAGGATTATTTATGTCGAATTTCTCGAAGTTCAAAGATCTGCCACCTATCGACTGCAAATGTCATCGGGCAGCAGTAAACGAAACGCACTGCGAGTTGTCAACAAAAGACATTTACCGCAAAGGAAGTTTTTTGTGATCGAAAATCCATGAAAAAACCGCGGATTTCGGGAAGAGCTTCGAAAAAGTGAAGTGGATTATCATTTTTAGTTTTAGTGGTCCTACATGAAAGTATGAAGAGGCGAAATGTTGAGCTGGCTAAGATGAGAAGACCTGTAAAAAGGACCAAAATTTCTGAAGGCTTTTTCGGAAGGTACCCAAATATCCAAAAAAGATTTCCGCGTTCGAATGCATTTGTTCAATTCACACGAAATCTATCACGATTTGAACGGTTTCATCCCATATGTGTTTCAAAATGGCTGGTGTCACATAACAATTAGGCCCTTTTGCACTGTTTTTGTCTCAAGTTCACACTTGACAGCATCTGTAACAATCCCTGTTAAATTAATAACAGTTTCGATATGTTTCAGCCTGTTTCAGTTGATTTATAAAAAATAGAAAGGTTATAATCGCAGCTGTCAAAACAAATCTTATTTTTATCCTGTAATCTAAAAATATACCACATATTTTTGCATTGCATGCTTATGTTAAATATTCACGATTTAGTTGTCTCTTGCAAGCACTGGATTTTATAACATTTTCATTTATAAATTTGCCAATATGTTGTGACATGTCGGTCAGTCAATATTCGTTTTAACTTTTCAATACTGAACAGCAAAGATCTGTTGCTTATTCCCTTTATTGTATATTTATCCACTCTGTATCATCTATTTTTATTTAGTCAACAACGGTGATCTATTTGTATATACACATAAAGCTTTTTATTTTATTACATTAGGATTACCTTACATCATTATTATGCAGTCAAATTTTGGTGTGTAATTTCAGGAGAATAGTCATTTTTTTAAATCACAAATTTAAATAATAACATTATTTTTATTTGCTGGAACATTGGGATATCCTCTCAAAACCCAAAAACAATAGTTTCGAATAGAAGAAATTCTTCAGAAAATTCATTTTTATTATAATTATATTATAATATTTTTCTATTATTAATCATGTTTATCAACAGATAACTGTCAAAAAAATGCAGCTCTTTATTGAACCATAATAAAATGTTTTGCAGCATAGGTATAATAACTTTTTACTTTGACAATGAATTAGGATAATGCCAATATATCATACCCTTTCATACAGATTTCATAAATGTAATAATATTCTTTTTCAAGTTCTTTTTTATATTATCTCAGTATTTTTAGGAGTATTAGAATCCAATTGATTAATAATTACTTATTTGAACAGTGTTTCTTATAAACATTCTGTAAATCTGAGGGTCTTATAAGAATTAATGGAATTTTAATGGATTTGTGATGTCTATATCTGTGAATATTTTACAGAAATCAATGTGAATACATATTAATAAGATTCTTAACTCTTATTATTTGATAAAAACAATACACCTTATTGTTACTATACTAAAATAATCAATAGATTGTACCTAATACTCACGTTTGGTTAGAATTAATATACCATCTAATTCATTAGATTTTTTATCATAAACATATACAGTGTGATCGAATAAATACAAGTTTATTTCTAATGACTGAAGCTTAAAATACTTGTTTTTTTGTATACAACCTATTTAACAATACAAAAAACTAATCTGTATTACTGTAAAACTACTTTATCTACATTTTTCTATTGTAATTTTACCAAGAACTCAAGCAGCTGTGAGTCACAGTAAAATTCTTCAGGCCATAGACCATAGAATAATTTTCATTCAACTATACATTGATATGTTGTATTAATAATACTAATAATATAAATAAATATGAACAGGATTTTACAAGTTGATTAGTGTAAAATTAAGTATATAGTAATGTCTTTGGTAATGTAGTGCACTAATTATGCAACCAGGAATACGCTAAATCCTACGGAAATCGTTAAGTGATTACCATTGTAATATAGCCCTTATGTAATCTTCCTTTAAAGGATATTATAGCTGCCCTCTTAGAACATTCTTGTATGTCCTTGTTTATTGTAGCTTTAGTAGAAATATTTGAAATTTATACCGCCATAAAATCAAGAAAATATGTTTGTTAAAATAGTTATAAAAAAAATGCTCTCAGTATTTTGAAATACACTTGGAGAAGCATCTTGGCGCGACATTTTATTTATTCTTTTATGTATTTATCGTGTTGATCAGTAAATTGTCAAAAAAATTGTTTTATCAGTAAATATTTAAAAGCAAAGTAGTAAACGAATTTCCCGAGAATGAACAAAAGATTGTCTAAAAGAAAAGTAAAAAAATATAAAATTTTCAGCATTTTTTCTCGCAAAAAAACCTCATAGAAGTGTTTCTGGGACACCCTGTATAATAATGAATTGGATCTGCTACTATAGTAGTTATTTACAATATTCAGTTATTCAATTTTGAAAATTATTCATTCGTAATTTATTCAAATTAACATAATTTGGATTAATTGCCACCTATGCATACGAAATAGCGTGTGATAAAATTTGCAATTTAAATGAATGTTTGTATAAATATATGAGTGTTTTTGTTTATCTATGCCACCATATACCTAAACTTATTTGGCAACTATCACCAAAAATATAGAACCCTATGTTTGTTATCTTTTAACGTAAATACGTACTGTTTTAATTAATTATGCTAAATAAGACGAGTATACGGGTTTCAGGAACAGTTGCTGTGGTTGCTGTCATAGGGTAGAGGACATAGCCATGGTACAAAGAATACAAGGTATGATCGATAGCGGCTCCAATTTCGTTCAGTTCGCGCATACCACCTGTGACGTCACTAGGAAAATAATGAATAAATAAAAAATAAAGAAAGTTGACAGCATAGTTGACAGGAGATCTGCATTTTTGGGGTTATGGTTAAGAATTGTTTATTTTTAAGACTTTTAAGTTCGTTTAATTTAATAATTACTAAAACCAGCAGTTCCAAAAATATATTTAAAAATAATAATTATCTATTAACATGGATTTGGACGATAATAGGTAAAAATACTAAATTTATTTCTATATTCGGTATAAAATTGTTTATTAGGTTTTTAGTTTGCGATGTTTATGGTAAATAATTTTCATTTTCATTGCCTCTGAATTCACATGAGGACAGAGTTGAGGATATCTATGGAAAAGTAACCACAAGAGGAATTGTTACATCATTTAAAAAATATTGGGAAGTTTATTGTTTCCCATCGAAAAGTAGAAAATGCCAATGCAGATGAACGTATTGTAATTGTGATAGAAGTAATTCTAAGGGTGAAGTTTATTATAATTAGTGGAAGTAATACCAAGGGTGAAGTTTATTATAATTAGTGACCTCTGCTTCTTTTTATATGTAGAAGTTTCTGGTTTTGAGAATAAATCGGTTGAACGACACCCAAAATTTAAAGGAAGTATTTGCATACCCAGAATATGCCCATCAAGGATTATATAGCTCAAATTTCCTTTAATGGTAGGCAATTATTCAATGCAAATTAACTTTTTAAGTGACTAAAATATTAAATAGTTTACAATATGGTATATCACTAAAAATATATTACTTTTAGGTACAATTAGGGCCCGATACATTTCAAAAAGTAGAATATTATTTTATATTAAATGAGGTATTGTACTAACAATCAATTTATATTAATAACGGAGATTAAAAAATAACAGAATAAATAGTTCTCTTTTTTATACTACAAAAATAAACTATAGAATACAACAGTATTTAAAAAAATAAATAAAAAGTGATGTTCTGGCCGAGATTCGAACTCCGGTCTCTCGCTTCCTAGCCCGACTCCTTATGCACTGCTCCACAGTAACTTGCTTAGCGATAATTCAATGACGGTATATAAACAAAAAAAACAGGTTTATAACAATATCTTGACGATTTGAACTGACGCGCGGAGCGTGCTGACCAATAGCGCCTGTTATCACCTGTGACGTAGCGACCAACCTGCGCAATATCATACCTTGTATTCTTTGTACCATGGGACATAGCCACAACATAGCTATAACACTTATTGCCCTATTCTCATGAATTTGTTAGCAAACTGTGTATAATTATATCAACTTTAATTCGTAAACTAAGTTTTTTATAAACTTTAGTATTTGGCATATTATACAGGATTAATGGAGGGGTTGTTTTTTTACTCTAACTTTAAAACACCCTGTGAAATAATTTAATCCGTAAATTTTCCTAAAATATGATTTTACGGTCAGAACTAGGTCTGTTGTCCAAACCAAACACCGGAACACCGTTTCAACACCAGTGTTGGGCTACGGCAGTGGTGTGTGTCGACACCGGAACACCGGATAGTCCATATTTCGCCACCGACACCGGTGTTCATTTCGATGCCGGTGTTCATCTCGATACCGGTTTTGACTACGACACCAGTGTTTGGTAAATCCTGATAATAATAATGTCGTATCGGTGATTATTTTTATCGTTTATTAAAGCGCACAGACTTTAACTTAAATCTTTCAAATTTAAATATACCTTTTGCCAGACCAATCACTAAAATAAAGTGGAAGCATCATTTAAACAACTATACATATAAAGTAACAAATTGTTTAATCAAAAACACAACAGAAAACAAAACAAAACATAAAGAAACAAAAATTCGTAGCTGTAAAATAAACTAAAAAATATTACATTAAAAAAACTAAAAAAACAAACAAACGGCACCATCGACACCGTTGTTCATCGCGGTACCGGTGTTAAGATAAATATCGGTGTTCAGATAAACACCGGTGTCGAGATAAACACCGGTGTTCTAGATGAACACCGGTGCTGAAATGAACACCGGTGTCGGTGTTGACACCGGTACACCGACTGAAACACCGGTGGTCATCAACACCTAACACCGGTGTTCAAATCTCAACACCGAACAGGTTTTGTCAGAACTATGACTCCTGAGCATTTTGTTTTTTGATTCATGTCAATACATCCTTTGGTTATTTTTTAAGAGCGAAATGAACTAATCACGATCAATTTGCAATTTTTTCGATTATCATTACTTTTTGATGTCATTTTTTAATATGACGAGATGGTTTTGGTGACTATTATCGTAACGTCATATTACATTGCATTGGATACTTTATACTAAATAAAAAAAAGCGTTAAAGACTAACGATAAAGTCCTGGTTTTAATAAACATTAATAACGATAACAGAACTAACGATATTAAAGAATGCATCTGTAATACTCAAGTATACAAACAGAAAAAAAAATGTAAAAAATACCCTCGAAAATACCCTAATACTTTGCATTGCCTCCCTTGGCTGCTATAGCTGCCTGTATACGTCCGTTCATACTGTCATTGAGGCTCCATATATCATATTTTGTTATGCTTTCTCATTTTTCTTCAAGAACCAAGCAAAGTTCATTTATTGAAGCTGGTACCGCTTCGCGACCTCTAACCCTCCTGCCAAGCGTGTCCCAAACGTGGAACATGATGGGCAGTTCATAATAGTTTATAGTTCACAATAATCACCAAAGCCGGCTTGTCATATTGAAAAATAACTTTAAAAAGAAATGATAATTGAAAATTTGCAAATTATTGTTGGTGTCAAGTTCATTTCGCTCTTAAAAATTAACAAAGGCATATATTGACATGATCCAAAAACCAAAATGCTCAGGAGACATAGTTCTGACCGTAAAATTATATTGCAGGAAAATGTACACACGAAATTATTAAACAGGGTGTTTTAAAGTTAGAGTAAAAAAACAATCCCTCGATTAACCCTGTATAATATGCCAAATATTAAAGTTTATAAAAAACTGAGTATACGAATTAAAGTTGATATAATTATACACAGTTTGCTAAAAAATTCATAAAAATAGGGCTAAAAATAACAAAAATACCTATAACACTTTAAATTTGACCAAAAATTTCTCCGTTGCGTTTTTTTTTTGCATCTGAGTGTAGTATGCCCAACGAGTCAGGAAAGCTTCTGACAGATGACATCCAAGAAAAGACAGAAAATACAATGTACCGATGAATTTACTTCACTGATTATTAAACTGTCACTGTCAAATATCTTCTCGTTTAATAGACTTTTTATTTTGACTATCCCTCTATAGCCAGACTACAAATACCGTGTGATAAAAAAACGGCGTTTAGTTGGCTTGGAAAATGGCCTTTTTAAAACTAAGCAAGCATACTATAATAAAAGTCTGTTCAACATGACACCGACAGTTGTTTCTGTTTGTTTTTTTTTTCAGTTCACAGGTAGATTGTATTTTCTGTCATTTTAGGATGTCTTCTGTCGATATCTTCTCTGATTTGTTGGACAGACTATACGCTATATTGCTTAGTACATAAATTACAGTTTAAAGTGAAAACTAGATTTGATATTTGATGTGTGTGCGCTCCGCTATTTTAAATAGAACACCCCGTATGATATAAATCTGCTTAGCAATATACAGAGTTGTTCACCACATACGACACGGAGTATTGTAGCTAAACGATTAGATTTTTACAAATTGTAAGTTTTGGGGTCGTCGAAGGACTATTAGAGTTACAATTTAAAAATAATTTTACAAGATACAGAGTGTCCAAATAAGTAAAAAATATTATAGTTGTATTTCTTTAAATGGAACACCCTGTATATTATTCCATTTTTAGATTCTACGATTGAAATAAAGGTAAATTTGATTAAGATTTATCACACTTAAACCTTATCGTTTTTGAAATATTTTCAATTTTGTGAAATTGCAGTAAAAAATTTAAGGTTTCATTTCTCCTAGGGTATTAAAAATTTTAATACTAAATATTTACTGAAAATTATTTATTGATCAGATATTGTGTTGCAATAATAAAAATTATACTACCTTATACAGAGTGGCCAAAAATTTATATTAAATAATTACTAGCTTTAAACGGCAATAACTTGTTTAATTTAAATGGAACACCCTGTATACTTTACGTGAATCAGATGCACAATTTAATTTTCTATCAAATTGTATTATAGCATTTTTTACCTATATCCTTAAGTTTTCGTAGAAAATGCATTTTATTATAATTTAGATCTCATTTATCCATGGAATATTGACATTTTAGATTTTTTTAAAGCAACATATGTACAAAATGTACCGGTGGTAAAAAAATAATATTGCAAGCCCATTTGTTTACAAAAAGAAAACTATTTAAATCTTTGTAAAAGAATATACCAATTATTACTAATTATTAATATACCACCATTATTTCCGCCCAAAAATTAGTTAATTACATACTTAATTGTTTCAATTAATGAATTATTCTAAAAAAAATGTGGATTTGACTCAGAAATCGATACAATAATAAGTTATGAAAATGAAAATCTCAGTTGTTATAAATAAGCATTCGTCAAAAAATGAAATAAAATTTATAAGGTGTTACTTTTTACCACACTGTCTAATACACATACAAAATTCAGTTTTTTAGTATTTGGAGCAATTATTATTAATCAACGTAGACAGTCAATTAATGTAGTTTGAATACTGGGATCATATTTAGTTTTTTATCTTTTAACGAACTATATCGACAATACTAGTATCTGTCCTTTTTGAAAATTTGTTACAGCTTTAAAAATAATCTAAAATCCATAGGTATAGTGTTATATTATTCCTAATCTTAATTTGAAAACCGCGTTTCGCTAGCTACTGTAATTTTGGAGTTACGATTTTTTAAAATTTCAAACCCCCTCCCATACCCCCTTACCAACCCCCCACCCCTACCAAAAACTAATGGCCAGATTCTCGGGTGCCACAGTATTTTTGTGCCAAATTTGGTTAAAATAGGTTTAGCGGTTTTTGAGTTATCGTGTTACAGACGGACAGACAGACAGACACCATGAAAATATTTTGTATTTAGGTCATTTATGACCCAAGTAATTCATTTTGAGTGAAATTAAAAAAACTTTTCTTTGCCGATCCTAATAGCCTACCATACCCATTGGTATGGTCGGCTAAAAATTTCGATAACCTTGGAGAAATGAAGTCTTAAAATTTTTACTGCAATTTCATAAAATTGAAAATATTTCAAAAATGGTAAGGTTTAAGCGTGATAAACCTTAATCGAATTTACCTTTATTTCAATCGTAGAATCTAAAAATAAAATAATATATAGGGTGTTCCATTTAAAAAAATACAACTATAATATTTTTTACTTATTTGGGACACTGTGTATGTTGCAAAAGTATTTTTAAATTGTAGCCCTAATAGTACTTCAACGAACCCAAAACTTACAATTTGTAAAAATTTAACCATTTAGCTACAATACTCCGTGTCGTATGTGGTGAACAACCCTGTAGAGTTATAAAAAGTTAAAATTAAGTTTCAGTTAAAGGAACTTGATAAGTTATAATTAAAAATATATACTTTACTATACCAAACCAAAAACATTAATAATTATTATATTAGCGTTATGTCATTATGAATAACATCTTATGCAATTATTATTATCTTATATATTTTTTAATGGCATATTTTATTTTTTTTTTAATATAAATAATACACTCAAGTATTCAGATAATTTAATATATCTCAGGAATGTTTAAAAAATAATATATATTTATGTATTCTTATACGTTTATTTTTATTATTGTATAGCATAAACACACATATTTTTAGATTTTTTTTAATAATAAAACGTCGCAATATTTATTATTTATAAATTCATACAGAATCAAATTTTCTTATTTTTATCGCGATTTTACAAGTCGGATATAATTGCAATTAAATTTATGAAAGCTAAATGAAAGACAAAAGTGATGTGTAATATTATAATAATTATTGAGAAATTCAATAAAAAAAACAAATGCATTTAATTAATAATACTGGATATTAGAAAAGGTGAATCATTTAAATCAAATCATTTTAATGGATTTATAATACTGAATACAGGGTGTCGATTAGGGTTTCCGGAACCGGAGCCTTTTTTCGGAACCGGAAATTTCGGTACCGCGCCTCTTGGAACCGGGATTTCCCTTTTTTTTCTGTACTTTCGGTACTGACTAATTTTTGTTCAATGGTGGTGCAGTTCATCAATCAGAAAGCAAGGGATGGGGTTTCAAAGTAAAATGGATAAAAAATTGAGATTTTTAATGAAAATAATATCAAATTATTAAGTAATCAGTCATGAAAAAATTAACATGAACACAACTAATGGACTAAGTATAGGTAACTTAAATTTCACATCAAACAACATAAACCAACTCAACTCAATTTGAGACAAAAGCCCTAAAATATTGAATTAAAAATGCAAATATCTATTAAAACATAACATAATAAATATTATAGGAACTTCAAAAAAGAAAAGAGACAAGAACGATAAGAAATAGCATTATTACTTATTTAGAAGAGTGTGATTTCGACCGCTAGAAAGTATTAAAGGACTTTCTCAGGTAACAAAAAAATATTTTTTTAATTATTGTTACCGAGGCCCGGTTTTGTGATGGCCAAAAAGATCTGAACTCTAATAATTGGTAGTATTAATTAGCGTTTCCAGAACCGTACTAAAATATTTTTGTTCAACGATTTGATGGAGTTCGTCAATTAGCAAGTAAGGGATGGTTCTCAAAAGTAAAACCGATAAAAAATTGAGTATCAAATGAAAATAATATCAAATTATTAAGTCATGAGAAAGTAAACATGGAGACAAATAATGAACACAAGCGAAAAAAAAAGAAAACACATAGCTTAAAAATTACATCAAACATCAACCAACCTCGAAACCAACTTAACTAAATTAGAAAAATAACTTAACATTTTCAACTAAAGATGCAAATGCCTATAACAACATAACATAAAAAAATATAACTAATACATTCAGCATTATTATACTAAATAATAAAACCAAGTATTTAAACTTTAATAACTGCTAATAAACATTATAGAAACTTCAAAATAGTTTGAGAAGTAAGAACAGTAAGAGATATCATCAGTACTTATTTAGAAGATTTTGATTTTTACCACTAGAAATTATCAAAAGTCTTTCGCATGTAACAAAAAATATGTTTTTAATTTTTATTACCGAGTCCTGAAAGTACCGAAAGAACCTGGAATTAATGATTTCGAGTCTCGGTTCTTTGATGTCTCAAAAGAACCGGGAATTCCCGGTACTTTCTGGGATTTCCCGGTTCTGAACCCTAGTGTCGATCTGACTCTATATATTAATTTATTTTTCTGTTTCAGTTCCCTGGGATATGTGCGATTTTTTATCCTGTGGGCCTTTGTAATATTCTTCGACTACATATTGGAGTTCCGTTTCGAGTACATATGGCCCTTCTACCTGCTGATCCGGTCGGTGTACGATTCGTTTAAGTACCAGGGCCTGGCCTTTTCCATTTTTTTCGTTTTAATCGCAATGACATCAGACATGCTGTGCTACTTCTTCATACCTGTCAATTGGCTGTTCTTCGTCGCCAGCAGTTACGTATGGATACAGTATGTCTGGCACACCGATAAAGGTAAGCAGAGTGCCGTACGATCGAGAAAAAAAAACGGCGCCGAAGACGGCTGGGAAATGGCAATCCGTAATAAGTTTGGCGGCATTAAACCAGAGAGAACACTAATAACTAAAGTGAGAGAGACCGATCAACGTTAATTTTTGAAGCCGAACTATAAGCGCATTATCGATATAGTAGGTTGCATTCATACCTATATACTGGCGCCAAAAATTTAAAATTTGTATATTTGAACCGAATCTTAATCTTTCAAGTTTATAATAAGAAATCTTCGTAGTTTTTTTAGATTATTTTGTTGACAACAAAAATTTATTATTAGACTTTAAAGCATTAAAACCTATAAATAAAATACTGTGTAGGAACATAATAATTTATTTAACTCCATACTCCTTGCCATACTCCAACTCAAGGCTGCAATCTTCAGTATTTTTTTTATCTAACTTGGTTGGGAGTGAACAGGGAAGCACGGTTGGGAGCTCGCATAGAGTATCAGTAGGTATCTCAGATATTCAATGTTTTTGATAGGCTTTATTCTATAACAAGAACCTAGCAGTTGAAGAAAATAATTTGTATTACTGGAAATAATACCAGGTATAATACCTAGTCGTTCCATAGGTATCAGAAAAGAATGTGATGTTTTAAATTAAAAAAATGAAATTAGCAATGTACGATTATTATGTGCACTCACTATTACTATTAGGTATGTTAAAATAATTACCGAGATAAAACTTACCTTTAAAGGAAACGTTTTGTCTAGGTCTCAACCACAAAACAAAAATTACAAAAATGCCGAATAATCGTGGAATCTGAAATAATCAATAATGACAATAATCTTCTCTTCTGACAATCTAAAAAAACAGGCACATTCAGTCAAAAACAATTTATTACTCCGATTTGCTCCGATTATCAACAGATTTTAGATATCTCCTTCTAGAACTAAGAAATAGAAAAAGCTACTGACAATCTAATTAATCCTGTCAAATGTTTAACTTGCAAAGTTGAAAACTTCCTTTTTTGACCGCCTAAACGCCTTGCGCGTCTGGGATGCGCGGTGACAAAATAAACTTGTCTACGAAATGCCCTATTCCACAAGCCCTCTCACTTTAGTTATTAGTTTCTCTCTGGATTAAACTCTACTTGGCGGGGTCATTTACTTAGCCAGTAGGCATTAAGAAGGTTGTAAATTAATTTTATATTGAGTAAAAGTGATTTTTAAATAGTGTAGTTTAAAATTCGAGATTTTTTTTGAAAGTGATTTGTGTATCTGAAAACGTTCTATTCTTTTTAATCTTTATAGAATTAGTGTTAATTTTTGACAGGTTTTATGTCAATTTTCAATAAATGACGTTTAGAGATTGACCACGCCAAAATTATCATCGATTCATTCCTCAGCCGTCTTTGACGCCGTTTTCTTTTTTCGATGATACATTATTATTTTAACACTATTCTACACACAGTGTAGATTTAGTGTGTATTTTCCTTATCAGCATTTTTTTAACAAATTTTTATTTTTTGAATTAGATCATTCATTAAAAAATGGTATATTGTTTTATTAGGAGTAAAAATGACACTTTTTGTGACGAAGCTGTATGACATACAGGCGAGGCACAAAAAGTCATTTTTACTCCGAATAGAACATGCTATTTTTTTTCAAACGTCATAAATAATAATTTTTTAAACAATTTTAAGCGTTCCAAATAATATAAAAAGATTTAAAAGTAATACTTTGTATGTAATTATATATCGAAAAACTATGGTTACGCTCGTTGAATTTGACACTTTGTCAGTTTAATAATACAGTCCGTCTAGAAAGCATCCGGAAAAAAGAAAGCAAAATTGCAATTATCGATATGTATTTTTAGGACTTGAGTTAAAAAAATTATAATAAATTATAAATTTGATTTGCTTATACAACCTCCATTTAACTCCAAACACTTAACTAAACGTCCAGGTACACCCGAAACTATGTCCACACCATAATGTTCAGTGGTGGTAGTCCAGGCCTGTAAAACTGAGCGAATCAAATCTTGTTTATTTTGTGGAGCTGCTCGTTCCACTTCAATCTTGATTAGTCCCCATATGTTTTCAATGGGACTAAGGTCTGTTGAAGCTGCTGACCATGGAATTGTTGCCAAATGGCGTTCTTGCATCCAAGGTTGAGTATAGACAGACGTATGGCATCTTGCATTATCCTGCTGAAAACGCCACCCCTCTGGATATAAATTATGAGCCGTTTCAAGAAGAAAACCCTTTAAAATATCACAATATTTTGCACTATTAACAGTTCCATCAACTATACACAGAGGTGTAGCACCACGCTGACATATTGCTCCCCAAACCATTATTTTAGTGGGAAATTTTGAAACTTGAACTATAACATTTTCTTTTGATCGGATTTTTAGGTGGTTTCCACCAAGCTGGAAACAACTTTCGTCAGAAATAAAGACATTATTAAAATTATCTTCTTGAAAACGTTGACAAAAATCCATTCTTCGCTGCCTTTGTACAGGTGTTATTGCAGCGATTTTTTTTGGCTTCCTTGATATGGAGCCTTGTCTTTTCAGTGACATGCGGACGGTTTCTGGACACTTTTAATTTTCGCTGACTTCCAAATCTGTTAGCCAATTTGCGAAACCCTATGCGCGGATTCTGTCGTCCTAATGCCACTAAAGCGTTTAAATTGTTTTCGCGAATCTTACTCGGTCTTCCTGAAACTGGTCCATGCTTCATATCTGTGCCATTTTTTATCCTCTTTATTGTCTCATATACTGCACTTTTTCCGAGTTGAGTCAATTGCACTAATTTTTTAACGTTTCGAACACCTTTTCTATACAAATATTCCACCATTTTTCTTTTTTTTACTTGCGACATTATTTCTCAAATCTTAAGCCGGTTTACCATCAACAATATTTGACAGATGGTGTTGCCATGCGATTTTGGTCTTAGCCATTGCCTGGAAACTTATATGGTGAAATTTTGATAAAATAATTTAGTAAGTACACACTAAAAACACGGTATGTCGCTAGTGGTAGGAAAAATAATTTTTAGAGGTTACTAGTTTATTTGGTTGCCTGTGATATGCATATACAGGGTGTTTCCTAATTAATCTAAAAAATATAAAATCGTTAGAAAACGAATTAAGGCGGGCTCTTAATAAGTATATTTATTTTTTTCTCGACAACCGTTTGATGAACAAGAAAAACTCAAAAGATCAATTTTGTTGAAAAACGATGGCCAGCCAAGAAAAAAATATATTTTCTTTAAAAAAGCAGTGGTGTACCATTTATGTTAAGGAAAAAAATCGATTTTTTTTAATTTTAACACCCTGTAGATCAGAAAGGAAGTACTTTAGACCCAATGGTTATACCGTATAATGAACATCGATGACGTTTTCCATATAAATTGACAGCGATCTTCATTCCATAGTCATCGCTGACGCCGTTTTTTCTCGATCATACGGTATAAAAATTGTTTTAAGAACACATGAGGAATCACGCCATAATTTTTTAGACTAATTCGAAAACACTCTGTATATTGTCAACTTGACAATAACTGCTGATAAATCAAAAAATACCTTTTCAGTGAAAAAAGACTGATTTTCGCAGGAAAAATTTTGATTTTTATTGAATTTGGGCCTGCGTTTGCAAATACTGGTTTGCTTTTTAATTTTCTATCTATCTAAATTTTAAATATCATAGTCAGAAATATTTTTATAGTATATATATATATATATAGTTTTATTATTTATTAACTGTAAAAATGGTGTTTTCTTGTTGTGTTGCATCTTGCAAAGAAACTAACAAAACTGCAAAAATGTACGTGTTTCCAAAAGACGATAAGGTATTATCTTAGATAAAAGAAAAATATATGGTATGTATTCGTTGTTTGATTTTTTTTCGTTCGCTTTAAAATCTATAAATCTCGGTCTATTCATTAGACAGCCAGTCGACTTACGATCATTTACATGAAACTCTGTAAAATAAATAAACAAATAAATTGTAAAATATATATATATATATATTCTTATGTTTTATTAAAGTTACTCTGATATACTAATATATCAGTGTAACTTTAAAAATAAATCCTTTGAATTCAAATATAAACATAAAAACATTTACAGCAGAAAAGGCGAAGGCGCTGGGTTAAACGTCTCTAAAAGTCTCCACTAAAAACACGGAGGGGCGCTTTGACCCAAAATTTTACTATTAAGTTTCATATCTATCTTAATAGTAGATTATTTTCTTTTATCTATGGTCTTAGCCTACTATCGGTACAACCTACGTGATGGATTACTGTTGTTTTAGAGTGTTACAGAAAGAAAATACATTAAAATTAGGAAAAATAAAATTCCGGATACTTTCTAGACGGACTATATATTTTCGTACCTTTATGCTTAGTTAAAAGTGCTTTACTCTTATGCCTAAGCGTTAAAATGACTTATTTATATTTTCAATCACGTCGCAAAAATTACTTTTGTGACGTTTGAAAAAAAATTGTTACCTACCTCACCTAACCAGCTTATTAGCAGCTTTAAGTCAACTTTTAATATGTATAACCAAAAATGGGAATACACTGTCAAATGGTACAGTTCTTGGTTATAAATTATATTTTTTAAAAAAGAAAAAAAAACATACAGCAAAGTTGGTTTTAAAAGTGCCTGATGTTTCAATATTAATTTTTTCTCATCCTGTATAGTTTGATGATATAGTTGACTACAAGTTTGATGTGTAACTTTTTTTGGGAGCACCCTGTAGACTTTTATGTAATTTCAAGAAGTGCTTTAACCTACAGATGCTCACAGAATTTCATTTCAATACAAACTATAGTCACAGTTTAAAAAATACATACCAGTTGGCCCACTCTAAGGAATTCTATTGTTATTTTGACTTCAAAGGCGGCCCGTGACCCTTCGAGGTGACAAAAAATTTGTACGTTTACCGGGTGCAGCGGAAGTGCTATTTTATCAGTCAGAACGCTGGCCATATACGAGGGATCAATTAAAAATACTAAGGAATTTTAATATAGCAAGTAGAAAAATAAAAATACAGTACTAGTTTTATTGATTAACAGCATATCTGTGGGATCCTATAAATCCTAAGGCACTTTTCCTGGCTCCACACCTACAAGTTATTTTCCTTATTAGACTCTACTTATACATATTATGGTGAATACATTAATATTAAAATATTAGATATATTATTCTATCCTAATTCTGTGGAATATGGAATTTTCAATAGGGTAATTATTATTAATAATTATTATGGAAACCCCATATGAAAAATATATACTAAAAAATATAATAAGTTAATTTTTTTAATATATTTAATAATAATTTGCATATTTCTTAAATTATAGCATGTTTTGCTTTATAGATGTTTGCATTTTACTTTAATTACCTACCCGGAAAGCCCAAATTTTATCGTAAGGTAATAAAAGTACCTTTGCATACAATTTGTGTTGCCATTGTCAATTTTTTCTAAATTTTGTGATTGTCATAAACAGTAATTATGACTGTTAGTAGTTAATTGTGTAATAAATTTTACTGCTCGATAAAATTTAGTAAAAACTGGATAAAAATTGACAATGGCAAGACAAGTTGTATCCCAGTACTTTTTATTACCTTTTGATAAAAAGGTAGATAATTCAAGTTAAATGCAAACAGCTAAAAAGCAAAACATGCTATAACTTAAGAAATATGCAAATATAATTTATTACAGTATTTACTACTAATTGAAGAGCACGGGAAAAATAATGAAAGTACCAAAGGGGGGGGGGGCTACACCTTTTGGTACCTAAATAAACGGGAATATCGATAACGGCCACATAGAAGCAGGCGTTTAAAAATGGGAAAAACGATATAAACTCGGATATAAAAGTCCATGCGTAATTTGAATAAAAAAAACGGTTTTCTGAACATTTATCATTTCTGGATACTCATCGTTTTTCCCATGTGCTCGTCAATTGTTATATTTACTGTTACATAAATTTTAGTAAAAACTCTAAAAAACTTGTCAATAGCAGAACAAGTTGTATGCACGTATTTTTATTACCTGACGATAAAATTTGGACTTTCCAGGTAGGTAGTTAAAGTTAAATACAAACACCAAAAAAGTAAAACATGCTATTTAAAAAAATGCAAATATCTAAAAAATAATTTAATATGTACTTTGCAAACCGGTAAATACTGCAAAATCCAAAACATAATAGTAAAGTATCTCCTACTACTCTAAAATATCTACTAAAATAATAAACTAATTGTTAAAAGTAAATATTTTGTGCATATTTCGAGTAAAATCTTTTCTTAATTTATATGTATATTTTTAAAACAATTTATTGATAGTTAGGTTTCCATAATTATAATATACTTAATATGTCTAATACTTTAATTATTATATACTTAATATCCTATACTATATAAACACATACCTTCCTTCATCTTTTGGGCACCTAAAGAACGATATATTGTCTGTCATTCTACTTTCACAGCCATCCACTGCACAAATATTTCTAGTAGACATTTTATTCACAATTCGAACAAAACAACTAAAACAGTATTTTTGGTTCACTCTATGCGTTGGACCGAAAACAAAACTAAAATAAACTTGGAACGCTGTGTACACGTCGAGCAACGGATGTAGACTAACGCAAGTCTGCAAGACAGGCGGGGAGCGGCGGGAGGAATTTTGATAGGGCGAAGAGTGGGTCAACTGATATATTTATATTCTTTAAACTGTGCTATAGTTCTTCATGAAGACGCCGCGCGCCGCGTCGTATATGAGACGCTACTCTGTATCTCTGAAAAGATGAAGTATGCAATTTATATGCAATGTTGCAGGTTTCAACGCACCCTCAGTGATACTTTGGATGATATTCTTGTATTTGGAGTCATCCGTTCGGATACGAGATCTCAAATACCTTCCGGGTCACTTGGATCTCTGTCGACCGTTTGCGGCGCACTGCATAGGGTATCCAGTTGTCACGTTAGGATTTGGATTCAAATCGTACGTTGGTTACAGGTAAATAATATTATGATTAGATCCCTACTATATTACGCTAGATACCCACTAAAACTATTACGTATTTCTGGAATCAAAATAAGTTCATTGGTCACAAATTGCATCGACAGTGTGATTCACGGCCATGGCACGTTAGACGTTTATGGAGAACCGGTGATAGAGGCAACTGCTCCATTTGTCTAATGGCCGGTTTCTCAACATATAGCGTTATCGAGTCGATAACTATGAAGCACATAAATTCATCCAACCGATAACTTTATTTGGGTTTCCGAACGACAGCCTGTCGAATGAAAATGAGGCAATAACTATCTAATAGATATTTTAGTTCTAGTATAAGTTGTAGGTTGCGCTAGCGTGTTTACAGATTTCGCTCGTTAAAGTAGGGTGCTTTTGTAAGAAATAGTGTAGATGTCGCTTTAGTAGGCCAGCAGACCATTGACCTTCTGCAAAGAGTAGATAAGACAAGAGACGACAGTTCGCGCGGTACCTTTCATGTTTGAGTGGTGGGGAGAGTGACCTCGTCTCGCTTGTCCCTTTAAATTTTCGTAATTTTTTCGCGGGAAATTTGAAATAGACTATTATTAAAACTTGCAGGTATAGATTATAAATAGTTACTGTATGAGTAAAGAAATAAATAGAAACGAAAAAAAATGAGTTTTCTAAATATTATATAAAATAAATTATAATTAGAAACATATTTGTCGGGGAATAAAGATAATAAAAGCAATATTTTGTATATCGTTGGTAAACAAGATAAAGTGACCAAGTCGATTTGTAAGAAATGTTTTATTTACGTGTATTTTTTTTACATATGGGCTTGAACAAGTGTAAAATCACAGTGTTGAGTTTATGTACAAAAAAATAGAGTTGCTCAATTTTTTTTTAAATGTATTACAAGCTTCTAACATAGTAATTTCTTAAAAAATACTTTTCAGGATCCCCTGAAAAAAAGTGAAATATTATGTTTGTCGAAGAATAAGACCTATTTTTGCAGTCTTTAAAAGCACACACATTGCCACCATCTCGTCTTTTCCTGCTACTCGTGTCCTGTTCAGTATTTATATTTAACAATATTTACAAATTAGTACGCAACAAAAACGATACTAAAATTAAACCTTAAAAACTCTCAAAACGATAATATATCGAAAAACTCTGAAACACACACTTTAAAAAGGCAAAAATGCAGGAAAACAACTAATCAGATTTGTTTATGTTTAAGCCTGATTAGCACATCTGATTAGCGTCCTAAAACCTAAAATCATAGGTTAGATTCTTATTAGATTAGATAAAATACGCCGTTGTCAGATTTTGAGATTTTATCTGTTTATCTTTGAAATCGATCAACTTATTAGTCATTCTGTTTCTTTGATATTATCAGTACATTGCGAAAAAAGAACCTAAACCAACATAAACTAAAAATTTACATTTCAGTATTAACATACGTTACTTATATCCTTCTTATAATATTAATTTATTTTCAGAAAATCTTGTTTATACAAAGAAATATACTTGGCAACAGGCAAATGAGACTTGATGGGACCTTTAAATTTTAATATATCTGCGTCTCTCTCGCGAAATGCGACTTCTTTGTTCACTGTCGTCTCTTGTCTTATCTACTCTTTGCCTTCTGTATGTTATTTGTCCTTGTTTTCTTCATCTATGGTCATCGTTACTTGTCAGCGGGGATGACATTTCTTATGGGAGAACTGGCAATGGTTCAAAACTTGACTACACGCGATTTTCTAGGAATCTTCCTTACCGATAAATTATTGACAAGAGTGACAGATAAAACCTTGACGTTCTTTCCGTATTACAGTTCATCTCTTTTTCTTTCTAAAGTGTGCGTTGAAAGGAGACAAAAACAATTTTTGGTGACGCATAATTTGTTATTCGAACACCACTTTTCTCCTTGTGGGGTCGTTGACGTTGACTTGTTGCCATCTTATTTGTTTTGTTTACAGGCTGCAGTTTGCTTTGCAAATTTAATACATAAATTATTTAAGCAAATATAGGTGTTTGATAAAACTTCTCGGACTAACGTGTAGGTAAGTGTTGATAAATATTTTTTTTTCATCTTAACATGCTCATTGTCATTCTGATTTAGGTGACAGAAAAGGATCATCAAATCAAATTGAAATTTATATTTTTTCATCCCAGGAACGATACTAAAATATATATTTTATGGATACCTTCCTAAATATCAACGAGATGAGCCATCGGAAGAAAGGAACCATAGTACAAAACAGAAAGGTGATCTTTTTTCTTTCCACTTAAGATATTGAAATTATATACTGTAGTCGTGTTCGGCATTATGCTCTGAGAAATATAGATAAACAAAGAACAACAGATATAAAGCATCCCAGAGGAAATACCTGTACTCTCTCTGATATTTGTGAAAGTTACGGCAAAGTATTGTTGTAAATGTCATCTTTTTGATCGACCTGAAAACTTCGAGCAAAAAGATGACACTTTCAACAATACCCTGACAGATATCAGAGACAATACAGGTTTTTCCTCTCTTTTCCTCTGGAATACTTTTAATTTATTATTCTTTGTTTATCTAGATTTCTCAGAGCACTATGAACGAACTCAGCTTGTATGTTTGAAATAATCGTCCAGTTGGCTTAAAAATGATGATCGATGACATTTCCCACATAATTTTACTTGAAGACCGTTGATTATGCATATTATATTTTTGTATGTATACTAAATTTTAACTCTGTATTTTAGAAAGAAATTTACAAAACAGGTGGAGGGACATTTACATCAAAAACTGACGCCCTAGATGTTAAAATTGTGGATACATTACAGAATCAATTTAATCCACTCAAGATGTTGCATGATTCATCAACAAGTTATATAGAAAAAGGTAATAAACAATTTCAGGTATTTTTACTTCAATAAAATTGCATTTTTTTAAACAACCGAGCAGTAGGAGTTGCTAAATGAGCAGAATACAGGGTGCTACAAATTCGAGGTACGAGCATTGGTATCTCGGTAACCGTAATAGATACGAACATGGTTAAATTAGGGCAAAGTTGCGCATTGGGATGTTCACCAAGATACCATCAAAAAAGCTTTAAAAATTTCATGGATTGCTGAGTTTTTTGGAAAAAACTGATTTTTTAAAAAATCAATTTTATTTTTTCCTGTCGTTACTTCTTAGAAAATCAAAAAACTAATTGCACATTCTCATAGCCACTTTATTAGGGCTATTTGGTAGTATTTCTAGATTTTCAAATTAGCTGATAATTTGAGAGATACAGAGGCCAAATTATTTTTTTTAAATACGGACCTGCGTTTTTTATTTCAGATTTTGAAAGAACTCGGTCTCCTGAGTACAATGATATGCCACACTTAATATTTTTTTGTTTTGACATTTGAACACAATTTATTTAAACTAATTTCAAGTTCGGCTCTGTTTTTTTTTTAATATTTAATCTATTCATCGTTACAATATTGATTAGCATTCAAAATTAACAATGACGTGGGGTAAAACATTGAATACGGAAAATCAAATGCAATAAAATAATATAAAATAATTAATATAAATATAATATAATATAAACAATCAAATAATTTTCCCGAAAGATGGACCGGAAATGGTAGAGCAATATAATGTCCAGCGAGGTTCCTGGACCTATCGCCAAGGGGCTACATTACTTGACGTCATTTGTAAAAGTGAAATCAATTCATCTCAACATTTACAATAAAGAGTAGGTACAAAATGCATTAAGAAGTATAAGAAGAAAGTTCAAAGAGCTATAAATAAAATTGAACGAAAATAAATGTGTGCAATAGGAAGGGTGGTAACCCTTTCGAACATGTAGAACATTAGAAACTAGTTTGCACAAGTTAATTTGTTTATAATTACGATTAATAATATGCATATTATTAGATCGCACACTGAGATTTCAAACTCACAACAAAAAAAGTTAAAAATAATATCTTTAAATTTCTGACCTGGATATTACTTATTTTAATCTTCTAATTGGCTCGATTTTCCTTATTCAATGTTAATTAGCGCTGATCAATATTGTTGGGATGAATATAATCAGATTAAATAATTTAAGAAACCAGAATCGGACTTGAAATTATTTTAAATATAATTAAACAGTTTTGTTGCTGTTAAGGTACCCAAAACAAAAAAAAGTATAAAATGTGGCATATCATTATATTCAGGAGACCGAGTTCTTTGAAAACCTGAAATAAAAAATGCAGGTCCGTATTTAAAAAAATTAAGTTGGCCTCTGTAACCCACAAATTATCGGCTAATTTGAAAATCTAAAAATACTATCAGATAGCCTTAATAAAGTGGCTATGAGAATGTGCAATTAGTTTTTTGATTTTCTAAACTGTAACGACAGGAAAAAATAAATTTGATTTTCAAAAAAATCTTTTTTTTTTCAAAAAAACTCAGCAATCCTTGAAATTTTTAAAACTTTTTTGATGGCATCTTGGTGAACATCCCAATACGCAACTTTGCCCCAATTTAACCATGTTCGTATCTATTACAGTTACCGAGATACCAATGCTCGTTCCTCGAATTTGTAGCACCCTGTATATTTATTTATATTTTAGATAATATATCACATGATATTAATCTTGACGTTCCTGGTACTTCCAAGCTGCAACCGACTCCATCCAAAGCTGAAACAAACGCGTCTGTTCCTGAGGCTACACCAACACGCAGCAAAAAAAGAAAAAAACTCTGGAAATACAAATTTTGCAAGAAGATTTAAAAATAAAAAAAAATTGAATCAAAATTAAAAGAAGATTTGTTAAAGAAATAATAACAATAAAATTGTAAATAATGTCTATACGTTGTTTTTTTTTTTGAAGAAATAATAAAATTATAATATATAAATACAAAATATGATTTTTCTTGGAAATTTCAAGTTCTTGAACCTTGTATTGATATAATAAATTAATTTTGAGAATTACAGTGTTGCCGCTTCATACTAAAAGTGGTACCATCTTTGTTATTTTAAATGGAACACCCGATATATTGTTACATTTTTGAAAACTACTTTGATATCTCATAATTTTTATATTATATTAATCTATACCTATTTCTGATAATTTTCGAGATAAAAAAACGTGTGTAAAATTGACAAAATAAACACGATCTTGAATAAGCATTGGTTAAATCATAAATTCGGCATATTGAAAGCGGAAACTTGGTTTAGAGGTTAAGGAAAGTCGGCATATCCAATCTACCAAACAGAGAGGTCAGAAAAAATAATTATTTCCGTTTGTTATAATAGGCTACTAAGCAAGGATAAAAATAGGGTATCACCTCCGAATTCTTGACACCTGCACCGATTGACAAAAAATGAAATTTTAACAGTAAATAGAGATATATGTAAGAAACGAAAGTTACATAGTAACGATGTGTGCTTTCACCCTGGGGGTGAGTGCCGCCCCTTCTCGGGGGTGAAAAATAGATCACCTATTTTAGTTACAAAAATCAATAAAGGGATGAATTCTAAGCAAAAAATGTTCTATAACATTTTTTCAGAAAATTGATATTTTCCGAGTTATTTAGGATTGAAAACCTTGTTTTTTCAACTAAAAACTGCATATTTTTCTGCAATTTTTTATAAATAACTCGAAAATCTTGCGTTTTATCGCAAAACCATATATAAACCAAAAATGAAGCTTTTGGAATAACGAATCGATTCATTTTTTGTTGTTTACCATAGGTGTAGTAATAGCCGAGTTATCACTCTGTAAACTTGATTCTTTATTTTTCGAAAACTAAATTGGAACCTTTTACTGTAAAATAATGGCGAAAGAACACATTTTTCGAAGAAAATGAATATTACCGTTTTTAAAGTGCTTGAAAAGACCTTTTAAATGTCTTTTTTTAAAGGTCTTTTCAAGTTCGTAGCTCAAAAACTCGCGGGGTTATGATAAAAATAAAATGGTCACCTCATTTTTTCGGAAAAAAATTAACAACAAAATCTATGACTAAAATCATAAAAATAAAAACTATCAATTTGTAAGAAATTACACGAGCTACAAATTAACCTCTATAGTTGAACTGTCTTGAACTCTTCATTTTCACGACATTTTTGGGTTTTAAGGGCTCAAATAATGTCGTCCTTACATGCAAGTCAAACTAAAAAAACGTAATATCTACGAAATAAAGAGATCTACAGAAAAATTAAAAGGGATCAAAAATATTGCAAAAAAAAGACCTTCAATTGTTCCTTCTTCTGTTGCATTTTTTACGTATCTTGCTTAGTTTTTGAGATATATGTCAAAAAAAATTAAAATTTTTTAAAAACAAAAAAATTTTTTTTTTCATTATTATTAATTTTCTGAAAAAATGTTATAGAACATTTTTTGCTTAGAATCCATCCCTTTATTGGTTTTTGTAATTAAAATGGGTGACTTATTTTTCACCCCCGAGAAGGGGTGGTACTCACCTCCAGGGTGAAAGCACACATCGCTACTATGTAACTTTTGTTTCTTACATATATCTCTATTGACTGTTACAATTTCACGTCAATCGGTGCAGGTGTTCAGAATTCGGACCCTAAAACCCTCGCTTACTGGCCTCTAAAATTACTCAAATCTTTGTTATTTTAAATTCAACTCAGCTATGTATATTATTTAAAAAATCGAAACCCAAATAAAATTGCTTTTCAACGATATATCATGTTCCTATACCTAAACTTTCTGGTTTCTCCAGTAAAGCCATTTAAAAGATAATAATTCTGTTATAATGGTTTCGTTAAAGAAAATCGTTGCCATGACAAATATTCAAACTTTATATAAGTTCTCTGTATATGTTAAAGATGGAGCAAGTGCCTTTATGTAAAAATCAAAATAATTCCAAAAAAAATCTATCACCGGTTCTCCATAAACGTCTAACGTGCCATAGCCATGAATCACCCTATATACAAAAGTGCTGATGCATTATAACAGTTTTTGTATTATAATATATTGGTTTTTCATGGTTTTGTTGTAGAATGCGACAGCGTAAGCAACAGCAGGTAGCCAAAGAGAACCAGTTCTACATGCAACTGATGCAACAGGCGCTGCCTGTGGAGACGCCACCTGACGCCGCGGAACAGGTGGCAACGACGCCGACCGCCAACGGCACGGCAACGGCTGCTGCGACCTCTCCAGCACCAAATGTACAAAATAATAATAAGATACATAACCATAGTCATAAGGTAAGCATAATCAATAACCAAGGAAAGATTACTCAGCTATCAGTAGTAACCAATAAAGAAACCTAACTTTTACTTAATACAATAATCTTGTATCGATTACTAAAGTGCTAATAGGCTTCTCGTCTACAGAGGGCGCTGCAAGCTACATCTCACCTGAGCTAAATTAGGTTTCGAAGTGATAAACGAATTTTTGCCTGTGTCTCGTCAGCTTTGCGCAGTGGCATTATCGTAACCAATGAGGTCAATCCGAGGTGCGATTATTGCTAGTTGAAAACTTTAACCAATACCCCGCTACGTGCACGTGAAATACCGTGCGCTACGGCAATTTTTGACAGCCTCTGAGGAGGCTTTTTAATTAATAAAAATTAACTTCTCACTTTACGCATTTTACACTTTTCATGTTATTATTAAATATCAAAGTCAACTGTGTATCTCTGTTTCTTTACAAAGATATCAAAGTAATGATTATACATCAAAGTAATGATTATACTTGTCTTTCATCTATATATACAAATACAAAGTCGATCACGTCACGAGAGAATACATGACAATCATTCGTTGTCTGTCATTTTAATTCTCAGAAAAAATTATTCTTTGTCTTTTTTGGATGTCGTCTCTCGAAATCTTCTTTCCTTGACTCGTTGGACAGATTACATGACAGATTAGTTACTGATTGTAATATTATTTTTGTTTCAAACGTCACAAAACTATTAATTTTTGTGACGTGATCGACAATAAAAGTCATTTTTGACGCCTAGGCATAAAAGTAAAGCAGTTTTAGTACGCCTAGGCCTAAAAGTAAAGCACTTTTACGCCTAGGCACAAAAGTACGAAAATATATGAATTATTAAACTGCCATAAAGAGTCAAATACAACGAGTGTAACCGTAGCTCTGACCATAGTTTCTCGATATATTATGTATGTATAATTATTTACAAAGTATTACTGTTAAACCTTTTTTATGTTATTTACAACGTTTAAAAAATTATTTGGGACGTTTGAAAACAAAATGGCATGTTCTATTCGGAGTAAAAATCACTTTTTGTGCATTTGTGCCTATTTTTATGTTTTTTTTTTCTAGGAAAAGAATGGCCACATACAGAATGGGTCAATAGCGAATGGGCTTAATCATGGGACGAAGTCCCACAAGAGGTTGTCAGCTGAAAAAAGTCGAGAATCAGCCGATCATCATGAACACAAACATTCTGATAGGCACATAGAAAAACATAAGGTAATATAGTTCATAACAAATAAACTTTTAGTCACGTGATTAAGCTTAACAAGAGAAAAAAATCAGTGCCGTACATGAGATTTTAGAAAAATATTCCAATGGTAACCCATATGCACGTTCCTAGCGATTATGTCAACACTTCTTAGCTTTAAAATATGTCGCATTTATAGTAACTTTGTTCCTCAAAATTTCATTCGAAACGCTAAAAGTACTTGGAAGAAAATTATAACAAATCGAAAAAATATTAGGACTTTAATACCCTGTAGCTATGAGTTAAAGCAGAATCGGACCTATGTTGCTTGTATAAAAATAACTCTTATTTTTTCGAGAGACGGCACATGTTTTTTGAAACGCCCTGTATTTTTCTGTAGAATTATTGATGTTGTTTCTAGTTGCCAAACAAAATTACTAGTTTTATCATCTTCAGATCGTCAGAAAAAGTGAGTAAGTTATGTGATGACGTTTTTTTTTTACTTCTTTTAAAGGTAAATCATTCACACAGTAACGGTTCTGTGGTGGAATTGCACGAAGAAGTGACGGAACCGGAACCGAAACAGACGAGGAGAAAAGAGAAAAAAGAACAGGACAAAGAGAGAGAGGCTCAGGAGTACTTACAGAGGCTGGAGACCGAAAGTCGGAGGCTGAGGTCCGATCTTGTTCAGAGCAGGGCCAGCGAACAAGAATTAAGAATACAGGTAAGTGTATTTTTAAGAAAGAAACGATATGTCTATAGACCTACTATTAAATCTGTTGTTCTAAGGCAGAACCCGATATGTGGACCATTATTTCCTATTTGACATATCGGGCTCTGCCTTAGTACCGCAGAAATATCTATTAGATGATTAAAACCAGCGAAACTATTAAGAAATGTAAAAAAATAAAATCAAGTTATAAAGGTTTCTTAACTTTCTGGAGCCGTTACAACTCCGACTACATTTAAGGTTTGTTAGTTCCAATAGGTAAGTCTACAGACTAAATATCTCTGAAAAAGCTGTACAGGGTGAGCCAAATTGGACGCTTTTAAAGGGTAGCACCCTTTTCTATAGGAGAGAGACGAAAACTAAAACCACACATCGATATCTGTTACCGTTTCGGAGTTACGGAGTGTTTTTCAAAAATGTGCATTTTTAATAAATCGCTGTAACTTTTTTGTTGACTGCAAAATTAATAATGGCAATAATTTTTTGTTATGAAAAATTTTGTATTTTTATGAAAACATTTCCAAAGCACCTTTTTACGTAGAATTGTTTTTGGTTTAAGTATAATTTTTTTATATACGAGTTATTAACAGAATAATAGATTTTTTTATTTGGGACACCCTGTATATTTTTAATTAACTGAAAAAACCTTAAAATTACTTTTCCAAAACCTAACCCCTTCGAAATACAGCATTTTTAAAAGTTTGCCACTTTTAACTAGTAGGCTTTGGACCACTTTTTGATGATCTGCCCCTAATGGAACTCGAAAACATATTTTTCCTGCAAGACGAGGCACCGCTTCAGAACGCTGAAGTTATCAGCAACTTTTTGCAGTCAATTTTGAAAATACCTGAATAGCCAACCAAGTTCCCAGCCGTTGCAACGCGTTAGCCGCCGAGGCCGCCGGACTTAGCGCCTATGGATTTCTATCTTGGCGGAAGAATAAAGGTTCTTGTTTTTAAATTTACCGTATAATCTAGACAAGAATTAGAAGTACTTAGCGGTTATGCGTGGGTATCTTTCACCCCTACTGAGTTAATGAATTCCGCGAGAAATGTTCAGAAACGGTCCCGTCTGTCCATAACAGAAAACGGTCGACATGTCGAACACCTGTAGCAAAATCTCATGTCTTGGTTTGCTATTAATTTTTATCATTGTTAGATATAGTTCAAATGTGTTGATGTTGTTAAATATAATTTAAATTGTTATAAAATTCTACGATCTCTCATTGCAAAAATTATTTTCGTTTTAATTGCTGCTCACAGCTAGAATTTTTTTGCGTTACAGTCGGCGCCGTTCAATACCTACTTATTCAAAATAGGCGAATTTTTTAAAAATCTATATCTCGAAGAGGAATAGAGCAAAATATCAAGTATGCTATATTTTTGGAAAGGTAATTTTAAATTCTTTTCAATGAATTAAAAATATACACGGCGTCCCATATAATGAATCAAATTTTCTGTTGATAATTGTTAAAATATTAATTTAAAAAAAATCATACTTAAACCATTAAATTCTACGTAAAAAGGTGCTTTAGAAATGTTTTCATAAAAATACAAAATTTTCCACTGCAAAAAAGTTAAGCAATTTGTTAAAAATGCACATTTTTGAAAAACACCCCTTAACTCGCTCCACACACCGACATTATCTTTTGTCTATCTCCTATAGAAAAGGGTGTTTCACTTTAAAAGCGTCCAATTTGACCCACCCTGTACAGTAAGGTTTTTCTGTTTCTATTATTTATCTGAGCTTGATTACTTCTGAACTGTATCAGATATAATATCGTTTGCAGGTCGCTTCCTTAACCACCAGTGAGAAAAGCACAAAAGGCGAGCTGTCCCTGCTACAACGGCAGGTGGAAGATCTGCAGGATCGTCTACAGAACGCCACCGCCTCCAAGCAGTCCGACAAACAGTCGATCGGCAACTTGGAGAGGCGAATCACGGAGGAGAGGAGGCTCAGGTCGAGCCTCGAATCTCAGCTCAACCAGGAGCGGAAGAACAGAAAGCAGGACGAGGCCAGACTTGCACAAGTAATTTTGGTTTTATCTATTTTTTAGAATTTTTCGGAGAACTGAACCCGCCACGAATGTCTTCTTCTTCTTGGAATAGGACGAGGTCCAGTCAACTGTCTTCTTGTGACGTTGATGTACAGCTGTCACACCAGCGTTTTGTAGGCCTACCAACCGACTTGTACCTGATTTTTGTGTTTTGGTTCACTTAGCAATTCGATCTGGACCAATCAATAGCGGCGCCTTTTTCTTACCCATCTGATAACGTCTTGTGTGTGTATGCGTTGCGTATTCTCTCGTGCAACGTGGTCCCTTTTATTGTTTGTAGTATTTTTATCTTTGTCCTCATTTTTCTTTTTGTTTCTGATGTTTCTACTCTTGTTTCAGCAGCGTAAAGCTTGATTTTCATGGATCCGTTGTCCGATGATACGATGATACGATTTTAATTTTATTAGTTGAATTTAAAGACTTTGATGGATTTTATGGATAAGGAATTACAGTTTGCAGCAATATGCAGATTATTCTCAAATTTATTGCAAAATAAATACTAATAATTTGGCACAATTTCAGTTAAATTTTAACGACGATCTTAATAAAATTAATAAATATGCTCTGGATCATAATTTGAAATTAAATGCCGGTAAATCTTGTATTATAGTATTTGATAGTGATATAAACAAAATTATAAATACGGCTGGTAACATATATATCCATATAGATAATGTTGCGATACTCATTGTTACAGAGACTAAAAATCTTGGAGTCTATTTTGATGCGAAGCTTTCTTTTCAGGCACATATAACTACTAAATTAAAGGCTGCTTATATACGTTTGAAGAATTTTTCGTCTCTTAAGAAATATATACCATCAAAGACTAAGTATCAATTATGTGACACACTTATTTTATCTTTATTTGATTACGGCGATGTTGTTTATGGTACATCCATAAACGGGCTAGATTCTCTAGAAAAATCCAAATACTTCAAAACTTGTGTCTACGGTTTTCTTTTAACATTCTTTTTAGAGATCATATAACGCTACATCTTAAAAATTTATCTATTTTATCCATGACTAACAGACGACAGTTTCATTTAATGACATTCATTTATCGAATTTTAACTACAGAGTAGCCTCCCTATTTGTTCTCATTGTTTCACTACGTTGACCATGATCACTCGACTAGGCAAGTGCATTATTTTAAAATTCCTCAACACCGAACAGCTAACTTCCAAAAATATTTCAGTTTCATAGCGCCACATTTGTGGAATATTATTTCTAATAACTTTAAATTTAAATCCTTTACAGATTATAAAAAACAAATTAAAAATCGTTTATTAAATTCGTAAAAATTATCATTTCTTCAACTAATTTGTGAGGTTCTTGTTGATGGGGCTGCTCCCCTAACATTTTGCGCTGGATGTATACCATGATAGTAAGACCCATGATTACTTATGGAGCAGTTGCCTGGTACACAAAACTAGAGCAACGGACGGCAAGGTTAAACCTATGCAAAGTCCAGAGACTAGCATGTGTTTGCATCACAGGAGCCATGAGAACCTGTCCAATTTATTTCTATTTTGTTTTTGGGGTTGCACCACTCTGACACTTTGTGTCTTTGTATCAGTTTTTTAACCGCGGTGCACATTGTCATTGGTAGATATGCCAATGCGACAATGATTAGAATGGTCACTAACGGAATTAGTACTGGGAGAATTGTCAGATCAGGGGCTTGGAACACCCTCAAAAAGGAAATACAACTCATGCAACTCCCAGTGGACGATATGCCAAGAACGTACAACTTTGACAAACATGTCAATGTAGTATTGAGCAATAAGAAGGATTGGAAGAGCGAAACGCTTGCCCAGCAGTTAAAAGATCATACCATAACTTGGTATACTGATGCTTCCAAAACCAATACGGGAACAGGGATCGGAGTGATTGGGCCGAGAGCTAATTACTCCGAACCAATGGGCACTTACCCTAGTATCCTACAGGCAGAAATCTACGCTATCGAGAGATGCGTACAACTTATCTTAGATAGGAACTATCGGAAACAAGAAATAGCCATCTTATCTGATAGTCAAGCAGCGTTAAAGGCGATCAACTCAGTCTCAATCAATTCGAAATTGGTCAAAGAATACATAGAGAAGCTGAATAAATTAGGCAAAGAAAACAAAGTCCTCCTACACTGGGTGCCTGCTCACCAAGGGATAAAAGGCAATGAAAAAGCAAATAATCTAGGTAGAAAAGGAGCGAACACTCCACTAACTGGACCAGAACCGTTCTGCTTTCCAAGTGGTAACCAACTCAAGGAGGAACTCAAGAACTTGGAAGATTCCATCCGCAACCTGGAATGGAAATCTTGCAATGGTCTAGGACACTCGAAGAAGTTTCTGAGGGCTTATGATCAATAAAAATCACAGATCTTCCTAGGTCTGAGTAAGAACAATCTTCGGATGTCACGGGGTTTTTAAGGGACACTGTCTCCTCAATGAACACTTCAGTAGATTGAAACTAAGCAGAAACGGCGAATGCAGATTCTGTGGAGAAGATGGTGAAACACCAGTATACCTCATCACTGAGTGCGCCGAGACGACAACCATTCGTGCCATGAATTTTGGTACGACTGATATTGGAGATGGAGAACTACCCTCTATAAAACCGTCCCAGATACTGGCTTTTGTCAAAGCCCTGGGACTGTATGATGAGTTATGATTCAAGAAAGGGGGACACAATGGTCATAACATATAATGGTCACAACACATAATCAAATTAGTGATCTGTAAGGTCGAAGTGATTAACCCCCCTCCCACTCATTCTAAATTCTAAATTCTAAAAGAGGTTCTTGTTCTTCTGATATGCCCGTCATTGGTTGCTGTTCCGGTTTTTACACTGTTTCGTTATGCCTCTCTGCTTATCTCCGCTCATCCCTGATAAAATTATATTTTCACTTTTTTTATCTAATTTTAATTTTTTTAATTCTGTTTATTTTTATAATTTAATTTATTTCTATTTTGTTTTTGGGGTTGCACCACTCTGACACTTTGTGTCTTTGTATCGGTTTTTTTTTAACCGCGGTGCGATCTCTTTAGACACAGATTTATTAATAATAATATTATTCTGTAGAACTTAATGGGGTCTAATAAAGAAATTTGAATTTGAATACCAGATAAGACTGAATTCTCTTGTTAAGCCACATTCTGTTTCTATACTTGTTTTATTATTTATATTGAGCTGTCCTACTAAGTTTGCGTGGTACCACTAATGTATAGAGATTATTTACATAATTTTTTTGTATTTACAGGTAACAGCACAACAGTCGTCGAGAACAGAATGCACAGACATGTGTAAAACGCGGCGACGCGACTTAGAAGGCGAATTGTCCGAATGTCGACAGGCCCAACGTTGGGCTGAAGAAAGGTAAGATAACTTACTAATGAGATATCTTATCTACACTAACAGGCACGACGGGCACAGTGATAGAACATATTACAAACTAAGGGACAAATCCAAAACTTCTCTAAAACGTTAGAGCTAAGCAATTTAGTCTTCAGAGCTAGGTTTATTTGACACAAATGATGCGGTACTCAGCCGCATTGTACTAAATGATGACAAGAACGCCCACCTGGAGAAGTCGCTCTCGGCGAGGAGACGCTTATAAATAATAAAATTGTTGGAGCTGTGTTCCATCTAAGCAAATAATAAGTTATAGTATGAAAACGGTGTAAGTATTAAATAAATTCCTGTGATAAAAAAGAATTGAAATAACATTAGAACATGATTCCTACAATATAAGCCTAATATAAGATAAAAATGTTTTTCTTTAATGAAAAAGAAACATTAATGTTATATTTAATTAAAAAAAAAATTAAGATGCTATAAATTTACTTTAGGACAACAAAATGCATAGATCGTAACTACTCTGATTCAGGAGAATCACTGCTGACAGAATCTTCTAAATTTATAGTATCTAAATCACAGGTAGATGAAGTATCCTCACATATAAGATATTTCTGTACATCATTTTCTAATATGTTACTTTTTCGCGTTGTTACTGTTCATTTTGTCGGTATGAGGGGTTCGGATGTTAATAGTTACCTCTTTAATAGACCATATGCATATATTATTTTTTCCTTTTCTTGGGTATGAGATTTTATAATAAACTGAAAGATGGACACTTTTTTTATTCGACGTTTCGCTCCAACATAGTGGACTTTTTCAGGCACAAGTGGTGTCTCATTTGACTGGAAGGTTCATCAATATCTAATAAGAACATATTTTTTGAAATACTAATAATTTTGAGTTCTTGTCCTTATGATCAAGCCAAGTATTAGCCAAATCGGCATTGCTTATCAATTTTACTCCATCTGAAAAGTATTATAAAATAAAGTTCGTCGCAAGCAGACGCAGGTGAACTATACAAAAATTAAAAGTGTATGAATATGGCAACAAAATATTCAATAAATACGATATGTTTTGATATGTTTTTTTTAAATGCCTTTTTGAAGTTTGAAAACGTAAAATTTTTATACCCATTTAAGAATCATCTTAAAAAATAAATAAAAACTAAACAATCACGAACTTGTTTAGAAATAAATTTAAAGTACATACCTTGTTTAACAATATCCATAGTGGCTTTCAATTAAGTACGTACCCGTTTAACTCCATAATATACAGAACTACTATGAATGTTATTCTTTTCATGATGAGATAATGATCACTTAAAAATTTATTTTTAGTGAAAATATTTGCTAACAAAACGCTGTTTATGAAAAAATAATATACAGGATGAAAGTTTGAACTTGTTGCTATAGAGTATAAAATTATCTATTCAGATATTAGTAAAAATTTTAACTTATTTTTTGATTTTTGTCCATGGGACGAAGCACTGTGCGACGAGGGCAACAAATTTTCATCTATTTTGTTCTAGATGGCCGATTTTGATAATTTTTTACTAAAATATGCTTTCGTAATTGTACTGTTTAGGTGTAAAACGTTAGAGCTGGAGAAGCAGAGTCTGGCAGAGCAGATCCGCGACACGGAGATGCTAATAGCCGCTTTGACGGCGCTGCAGGACAAGAACGCCCACCTGGAGAAGTCGCTCTCGGCGGAGACGCGCATCAAATTAGATTTGTTCAGCGCTCTGGGCGAGGTGAAACGGCAGTTGGAAATTAGAGAAAGTAAGTGTTATTTGCATTTTTATTGCATTTTATTGATATTGCAACTATCATACTTGTAACGATTATCTTATAGACATGAGTCATTTTTTTTTCTATTGTGAAACAATGGGATTTTCCACAAAAGATGGAGAACTACCCTCTATAAAACCGTCCCAGATACTGGCTTTTGTCAAAGCCCTGGGACTGTATGATGAGTTATGATTCAAGAAAGGGGGACACAATGGATCTGTAAGGTCGAAGTGATTAACCCCCCTCCCACTCATTCTAAAATTCTAAACTGGGAATTTCGGTACCGCGCCTCTTAGGAACCGGGATTGCCCGGTTTTTTCGGTACTTTCGGTACTAATTTTTGTTCAGTGGTGATGCAGTTTATGAATCAGAAAGCAAGGAATGGTTTTTCAAAGTAAAATGGATAAAAAATTGACATTTTTAATGAAAATCATATCAAATTACATATTAAGTAATCAATCATGAAATAATTAACATGAAAACAAGTAAAGAAAAAAGTATAGGTAACTTAAATTTCACATCAAACAACTATATAGCTGAATTTGAGACAAAAGCCCTAAAATATTGAATTAAAAATGCAAATATCTTTTAAAACATAACATAGTAAATATTATAGGAACTTTAAAAGAGAAAAGAAGCAAGAACGATAAGAAATAGCATCATTACTTATTTAGAAGAGTTTGATTTCGACCGCTAGAAAGTATCAAAGGACTTTCTCACGTAACAAAAAATATTTTTTTTAATTATTGTTACCTAGGCCCGGTTCTGTGATGGCCAAAAAGATTTGAACCCTAATTGGTAGTATTAATTACAGTTTCCAGAACCGCACTAAAATAGTTTCGTTCAATGATTGTTGAGTTCGTCAATAGAAATGTTCACAAAAAAAATTAATCGTGCCTACTTCTCATAAAATCATTCATTATGACATTAAAACTCAGTATGCAAAGTTTCATAACATTCCGTAAAAGGCTTATGCCTCAAAAATCCATGGGAAATTATCGTAATTGTTTGAATCCGCTAAACGTGGCCTGACGTCACTGCTTCGATCGGTATTTCCGTGCGGGAATTATATATTCCGTGAATTTCTAACAGGACAAGCTAGAATACGACATATCGCGTTGTGCTCGGATGTAGTTTGTATATTAAATTTGGTTTATTGTGATTAATATTTGGAGTTTATTAAAACAAAGCTACTTAGTGAGATGGAGGACGGGTTTACTTGAAAGCGATAACAAACAACACTTGGTTTTTGACAATACAAAATTATTGAGTTTTTGAGCTGTCAACAGAAAACACATAGATAGCTTAATTTTAAGCTACCTATGTGTTTTACATTAAACCAAATCAACCAACTTAACTAAATTTGAAAAAAAACTTAACATTTTCAATTAAAGATTCAAATGCCTATAAAAACATAACACAAATATTATACTAAATAATAAAATAACATATTTAAACATCAATAATTGCTAATAAATATTATAGAAACTTCAAAATACCTTCAGAAGTAAGAACAGCAAGAGATAACATCACTACTATTTAGAAGAATTTGATTTCGAACGCTAGAAAGTATCAAATGTCTTTTGCGCGTAACAAAAAAGATATTTTTAATTATTATTACCGAGTCCCTAAAGTACCGAAAGAACCGGGAATTAATAATTTTGACACCCGGTTCTTTGATGTCTCAACCCTAATTTTTTTTCTTAGAGGTCTGAACCCTAACTTTCACGTAATATCTCTTTTCCAGACGCCAACCGAGTCCAAGAGAAGGAGATAGAGGAGCTCAAAGGCAAGATCGCCCAAGTGCTCGCCGTCATGCCCAACGACACGTTCGGCGCGCCCCCCGGCTCCGCCCCTTTGACGCCCGCCTCCTCGGCGCAGGGGGGCGTGGCCATGTCGAGGGTGCGGCTGGCCGAGAGCCCGCCCGCCGGCCTCTCCAAGCTCGACCCGAACGCCACGGCCTACACGCCCAAGAACTCGTCGCTCATAACCTCCACGGAAGCTTGAGGAGGGGGAGGAGTTACGACGGGGCGGTGCCCCGCCTCCCTCCCTCGCTTCTTCGTTCGTTGCGTTATCGATTTTTTTATTTTTATTACTGATTATTAATTATTGAACGAACGAGTCGGTTGTTATATAATTATTAATTTCTCTGGTCGTGCGGATGGTGGAAAAAGTGTGGGATATCAGGAGACTGGAGATTTGTAAAACTGGATGAGTATTTTTTATGTTTTGGGTGCTTGTAAAAATGGGGCTGACTACTTCGATATAAGTCGGAGATGATACGTAAAGATTATACGAAATAAACTTTTAGTCACGTGATTAACAGCGTTGTCCACTTTTACATATTGTCAGTGAAACGTGATAACCTGCTAACTCCATTTTTGATTTTAGGTAAATAATACGTTTAATACATCATTTTTACGTAAAAGTTTTAACGAAATGTTGAGTTTGGTCGTTCCCCAACAAATATTATTGTTATCTCTTTATCATATTAACGCGTGAATATACTTGGTACATGTGTACAGGGTGCACCATTTTAGTTGTTTCTATAGAGTATCTAGGAAACCGTGAGAAATTTTCAAATTTTGATACTGCAGTCTCGGGTTCTTTTTTTGAAAAAATTACAATAGCGCAAACGGATCGTGGCTATCTTGATCGGTTTCGAAGCTACAGGGGGATTCTCAAATTTTGTACTTTTTGAAGATGTTCGATAGTTTGTTTATTTCAGCAACCACGGAAAAATGAATTATACATTCTAAAGGCACTAACATATTTTAATCTTCTCAGTTAATATAAAAAAAAAATAAAACACAAAGACTACATTAAATGTTCAGACTGCTGCCCATTATTATCTAGACAGAGTTGGTACCGGCTCCGAGGACATTAATATATTGATTTTATTCATCTTCATTCTGATAATTTTTCAGATGCGGTTTTTGAAAAGATCCAAAATTGAATAAACTATCTTCTAACCTTTTAAAATGGCTGGGTTTGGTTGCTCGCGCTCTGGATACCGCTCAAAATATAAATCAGCTGTCATTTGCTTATGTTTGTTAGACACAATATAACATTCTAACGTATTATATTTCTCAAAATTTTGAAATTTACTCATTTTTTTATTACTTAAAATACACACACATCTATCTGTTGAAATGAAATGTCACGCATCCATCAAAGGTATGTCCCAATCACCATGACAACCGTTTACTTTGTTACTCGGCGCGGCCTACTATCTACTAAGTGGATATTTTAAGAAAAATTTGAAATGTTGAGGTTAATAGTGAAAATAAATATAGAGTGTTATATATTTTCGAGAAGCCCATGCCAAGCTGAATAAGAAAATTTATAATATACAGGGGGTTCTATTTTAAAAAAAACATAAGTATAGTTAATATCTCAAAAAATATATATATTTTTTTTTAAAAGCCTGACTACGCCACTGCATTCTACACAGAAAAGTGCCTTTAGAATGTATAATTCATTTTACCGTGGTTTGCTGAAATAAACAAACTATCGAACATCTTCAAAAAGTACAAAATTTGAGAATCCCCCTGTAGTTTCGAAACCGATCAAGATAGCTACAATCCGTTTGCGCCATTGTAATTTTTTCAAAAAAAGAACCCGAAGGCAGTATCAAAATTTGAATATTTCTCACGGTTTCCTAGATACCCTATAGAAACAACCAAAATGGTCCACCCTGTACATATTTTTAGTACCTTTCCTTTTTCTCCTCTAAAATTAGGAATAATGCAGTTTATCACATTTCACCGACGATATTTTCTTTTAATAAAAATATTTTAGCAAACAAAAATTAATTATTTATAAATATATAAACAGCTATTATTTACATCAACAAAACTCATCTCCTTAACAGCACTTAAAGGACTTAAAGGCTATTATTACCGCTTTCTCCTTCAAAATATTCTAATAAAGTTGCGATGAGTTTTTTACGGCTATTAAGCCATCTTGTACCACTTCGCACTAAAAGAGGTTCTAAAAAGAACATTTTTCGACTGCAAGGTCTGCTAGTAAAAATATTTAAGCTTAAAGTATCACATCACAATTCACTTAAACCCAAAACTTGCCATACATAATTAAAGTGTCATAACGAATCAAAATGTCAGGAAATAAATAAATAAATGCGGCAGCTTGACGTTTTTTACAGCAGAGTTACCACCTGAATCGCTAGCGGGAAATTTAAATTCCAGTTAGTCAGCCCGGCGTCGAATATGTTCACGGTTGGCAACAATGAATTTAATAATGGCGCCCTCGATGACGTAACTAAAAGTTTATTTGGTATCGGTTATATTTTTACTACTGTATAAAGAGGGGTTTAGACTCTCAGTTAATTTGCGCAAATTGGCTTGTGCAAGCTAGGTTAGGCTGACATATCGTAAAATATTATTTATATTATATACAGATTTACGTTAACATTTGGTTCATGAATTTTTGTTTCAAATTAACATGTGAGTGTAGTTAGACACTTATCAGTAACACCCGGTATATTATTACACTTTTGGAAACCACTTTCATATCTCATAATTTTTCTATTATACTAACCTATACCCAAGAATAGTTAACCTAATAGGACTTCTCATTAAGCCAAAAGTGTCTGCCAGGTGCATGCGAAAACTCCTCGCTTTGTGAGGTCATTGTAGTCCTTGTCATGGTTATTAGTCCTTATCCGGCAACCAATAATACACACACGTGCATTATTGGTTGCCCGATGCAAAACGTTCATTATTTAGTTTATTTATTTAAACACCTTATATATATGCAGTACAGAAAATTAACTGTATAAATCGTATTAAATACTCCGATAATGCATTTTTAAGAACAGCAGTTCCCAGCATCACAATTTGCAGGCATTCTTTTTAGAGTACTTCCATATTTTGCTTTAAAATAATTAATAAACAATATCTTAGACACTTATTAAGCGCTTTGTCACAATTCACAACACAAAATGAACGTATTTATAGACTCTATAGCTCTAAAAACTTTAAAAACATTTTTTTTACATTTAAAATTTACGAAATAATTAACTCAAAATTTCTCAGCTGTTATTTTTATAAGTTTACCATAGGCAACTAATAATACACACTATCATGACAAGGACCACAATGACATCACAACTGTCAGCTGAAGCGCGGGAAGAGGCGAACGTACGTCTTATGAGGATGAGCAATCCTATTAGTTTACCGTTCTTGACCTATACCTATCTCTTATAGTTTTTGAGATTAAAAATAAAATATGTGTAAAATTGACAAGAAAATGATCTTGAATAACAAAATCAAGAATTGAACATATTTAAAGTTGAAATTTGGGCTATAGGTTAAAGAAAGACGATATACAGGGTGACGCTGAGCGTGCATTAGAAGTTTCTAGAGAACTACAATATATAGATCGGAGATTTTTTGCACATCATTGTTTCGCAATGAGATCTGTCAATTAAAAATATTCTCAATATGGCGGCACTTCCGGAAATACTGCAAGTTGACAGCTACTTTCTTATTTAAAATGGGTGCCCCTATTTTTTATTACATAGTTAAATTCTCTGTAAAATTTTATGAATTTTGATATTAAACACTGTATACCTAACATCTACCGTTTTTGAGAAAAAAAAATATTTAAAATTTTTGGACGAAAAAAACGTGTATAGCCTAAACGTCAAATTTAGTGATTACTACAGCCACTGTGGCATAAAGAAAAGACATGTTGCTATCGATTTCAAAAATTAAATGGTTCGAATGTCATATAATAATGGCCGCAGCTGTCAAGATAAGATAGGACAATAGAAAAATTATGACTAATAGAAATATTTTCGAAAAATGTAATAATATACCGGATGTTCCATTTAAAATAACAAAGATTCTACTACTTTTAATATGAAGCGGCAACACTGCAACGTTGTAAATAATCTAATTATGTAAAAATCCAAATTTTCATTCATGGTCGTGAATTACCCTGTATATCTGATTCCTCACTCGAATAGACAATTTTTTTCTCGAGATTTTGGACCAAAAAAGGTTTAAATTAAGTTTGATTAATACAAATTTATTGAGTGTCATTTGTCCTAAAAGCAACTGAAAAGTTTACAATGTTGCCGCTTGGTTTTATTTTATTACTTAAAATTCGGTTATGCACATTGGCGATACACTAGTTATAGTCTATAAAATGAATAACTTTGAATTTTGATCGTTATTTTTTACCAACATGGCAAATATAAAATCCCTCTATCAAAAAAAATTACTGATATTCTTTAAATTGAGTGCCTGAACGAATCAGATAGGTAACTCTTTTTACTTTCGTGAAATAGAAAAGGAAAATAATAAAACAAGTGACAGTTATCCTCGTCTTGTAAAAATTAACACTAAATGTCATAATTGTCAAAAGTAAAATGTCATAAGCTTTTGACATTTCTAAATATCAGAGCAATGCCGTCTCTAATAGAACAGCCTCGGAGCGAGATTTATGACGTCACGCTAGTTAGATACTACGGATTAATAAATATGTTGTAGTTTACATGAAATATACATAATATACAGTTAATAATTACAATATATATACCTGTTTATAGTAATAAATACTTTGGCAAATAAACTATGAACCATACAAATGCAGCAAATGTTTTAGAATATACAAATAATGAATAGGTACATATGATAATGGGTAAAATGTAAAATATATTTTAAATTTTGGGGTTTGAAAATCGATCTAATTTAACAAAAAAAAACATTCAATATCTACTAATAGTGATGTATATGTACGATTTCAGCCATAGATAGTTTTAGTGTTAAGAATAATAATTTTAAAAAATATGTGATCATCTTTTGACAAGTTTATTAACATTATGTGGTATTAGGTTAGGTTGTGAATATTTTATATGTAATTTTTTGGATTATATTCGACACTATTTTTTTTGTATGACACAACACTAATGAAGAAATAATGAAAAACCAAATGAAAACTTAATCAGCGTTTTTCCCGAACCTAAATCCCAAGAAAATCAAAAATTTTAGAATAATTTTACACATAAAATGACAGCGATCTTTAGTTCATACCCAACGCTGACGCCTGCTTTTCTATGATATTGTATTATTTGCAAATATAATCTTTCCAAAATTGATACCTGCAAAATATACATATAAATTTTGTGAATGTAAATAATAATACATCACTATTAGTAGATATCGAATGTTTTTTTGTTAAATTAGATCGATTTTCAAACCCCAAAATTTTAAATATATTTTACATTTTACCCATTATCTTATGCACATGTTCATTATTTGTATATTGTAAAACATTTGCTGCATTTGTATGGTTCATAATTTATTTGCCAAAGTATTTATTTCAACAAATAGGTG